GGTTAATTTTTTGTGTTGTACTGACTGGGCCATGGGATACCCAGATATTTAGTCAAACATTTTTCTGGGTGTTTCTGTGGGTGTTTTTGGGTGAGACTGAGATTTAAAATGGACTGAGTAAAGCAGATGGCGCTCTCTAACGTAGGTGGGTTTCCACCAATCAGCTGAAGGCCTGAACAGAACAAAAAAGGCTGACTCTCCCCCAAGTAAGAATTTCTCCTGCCTGACTGCCTTTGAACTGAAACACTGGCCCTTGAACTTGCCAGCTTCAGACTGGAACTAAACCATCAGCTCTCTTGGTTCTCAGGACTTCAGACTCAGATTGTAACTACACCCCTCCTGCACCTCACCTTGCTGACCCTCCTTGCAGATCTTGGGGCTTGTCAGCCTCCATAATCTCATGAGCCAATTCCTTGTAATAAATCTTTCTTTATATATGTACATCCTATTTGTTCTGTTTTTGTGAAGAACCTAAGACCGTTGTTAGTTCTTCCCCAAACTCAGATGGCTCCCTGCACTGTGACCCTCAGGAGCTGTTTTCTGCAGTGCCTCATGGAGTCTTGCCCCTCTGACGTGCAGCTTAGTTAGGATTCAGCTGGACATAAGAGTACTCCATGCAAATTTCTGGTGTGCCTACTCTGCATGGCTCCCTCTTCTCTGGTACTGTCCCACACTGTCCTTGACTCTGGTCTCATGTCTTACATCCCGTGAACTGGTTTTCTGTTTGGGCTTCACTTCCCTCTGCTGCTGTCTGGAAAGTGCTCCCCGGCACAAAGCCAGAGTGAATGCAGAGGCCCCCTCACAAGTGTTCTTTCTCTCCAGGATGAAGGCCGTGAAGTGGTTGCTGTACAATGAATGCTGTAATTGCTTATGAAAGCAGGATAAGTCTAATACCAGTCACTCCGTCGCGGCTGGGCCCATAACTCTCACTCGAGGTACTGGTTTCAGCAATTAAATATTTTATTTCTAGAAATTCTATCTGGTAAATGTATCTGTTTAATCCTTACTGTTTTTTGTTTTGAAACTCATTTTTGTCATTTCATAGTTTGTTTCATACATGGCTCTTGGTGCAGTCTGTATTCTGTATTCAGTTCCAACACTGTATTCCTTGGGGTCTAAACTTATTGTTTCTGTTGATTCTCACCCAGAGCAGCTGGCCTTATCTGAATTTGGTAGTTTGAAAGAGGTTATGCTTGATTATAATCTGAGTCTTATGCGATGGTTTCTTCTACTTCAGCCAGTTTTGGGTGTGTGTCTGTATGTGTACACTTATCTCAGGACCTCCTTCAAGGTTTTAACTCAGAGGTGGCAGGAGTCTCAGAATCAAGCTCTTCTCCTCTTTGTTGTTCCAAGGCTCAAGTGCTTACAGACTGTCAGCGTAGCACTCTGGCCAGGCTGCCTAGCCCAGTTGTAGGCACCTGTGAACTCTGTTGCTCTGGCCTGGGATCCTCACCTACGTTCCTCAACATTTTCAGCAAATCCAATTCACACTCCACACTACCTCATCTTCACCCCAGGGTACTTGGGTTTCAGCTCTTAGATTTTTTAAAAATTTAGTTTCACCTCTCTCTCTCTTTTTTTTTTTTTTAAAGTTTTGAAGGGAGAAATCCCTGGAGAGTAGAAATGCTTTAGTGCATGCTGTACTTAGAGGTCTAGCCACTAAAGAGGAGAAGTAAACTTTTGAGCTTCTAAAACTTCAATTATCAGGGAGCAAAAACACATGTATTAATTTTATAATCAGAAAAATGAAAAAGCAACTAACATCTGTATCTGAATTACTAATCTACATATTTATTTATATAGCAATGAATCACTATGAGAAATTGAGTTATTAGTATAATCTGTTTAGCATTTTTGTGTTGCTTAATTTATTTCACAAGTCCAAAGGCTAGCTAAAGGATACTTCCATAGACTGGCTCTTTGTAAATTGAAAAAAAAACAAGACATATATAAGTTGACAAATGAAGACTGACACTTGGCTATGCTTTAATAGGCTAAACACCAAGAAAATCTTATTCTTTTATTTGTTCATTTTGCAATAAGTCTTGACATCACCTTCTCCTCTTTCTTAAATTTGCTTACTTAGCAGGGCACAATGCAGTTTTGATGTGCAATCTGCTTTCAAAAGAATCTTTGGGACAGCTAATCTTCTGTACACTCACTGTAATTAAATATTACAGCACAAATGGTACATAAGATACTCACTTTCTTGAGAACCTCTTAGCACCAAAAAGCAATGACATAAAAAAGTATAGATTTTCAGAGTGGTGTTTTGTGGATTTCTCAGCTTGAATTTTTAACTCTTATAGCACCTAGAACTTAGGCAGAGTAAAGCATGTCATACCATAGAATGGAAATATCTTTATTAACTGTCTTTCACTCTGTCCTAAACTCTCATTTTATCTCATTTAAAATCTGCTAGTGGACTAATCTGCTTATCTTCAAGTATCTTGCTTCATCTTGAATATGCAGAAGGATATGCCATACTGAATTAGAAAAGTAAGATCATGGTAAACATTTCTTATGGTAAACATCAGCAACGTATGTTTTGTAAGAGAGTATAGCTGCTATCTTTAACTTTTTAAGTCTAGTAACTGATTATCACTGACATTCTTTTATCAATTAATCCCATTCCCATTCTTATCCTCTAAGTGTAAACCATGTGATAGCTCCAAAAACTCACAGTCACCAGTATACTTTTATTTTTCTTAAAACCATCTCTCCCCACTTCAAGAAGCAGCAGCCTAACTCTGGATTTGGTAAATAACCCACCAACACCTCACCTTTGTGAATCATTCCCATTTTTCCAGACTGAGATCCTAAGTTTTAGAAATATGCTTTTCTTCAAAAAGTACAAAAACACATGGTTAAAAACACTCAAATAGTTCAAGAACAGCTCATCAAATATATGTGCTTATGGCCCCCCTTCATAAGATATGCCTATGGCCCCATCTTAAAAGGTAACCACCATTAAGCTCCTATGGGTACTTTCAGATAAGTGATCTAAGATAATTACATCTAAGTAGGGAGGTTACATATATTGTTTTGGACACAATTTTTTCACTCCCTATTGAAACCATACTAAAAATGATAGAACACATTGAAATCACACAAAATGACAGAAAAGCATAGCTTTCTCTTTAAGGACAAGAAAACTAGAAGAGAGAATATAGGCATAAAATTTTTAAATCTCAGAAATAGATGGTAATTAACTTCTAGACCAAAGAGAACTTAAATGCCTGCAACAGAGACACACCCTGAAAAGGCAGATTCACACTGCAGAGTTTCCCAAAGGCTTAAGAATGGAAGGATCCAGATACCTCTGAAGGGTTGAACAGTAAATATGACTGACTGCAATTCTGTTCATGAAGCATTTAGATCTCAAGCTCCCTCCCTGCAGAAAACTTTCCAGAGGTCAAACCAGAGGTGTTCTATGTATAGAGAGAACAGCAGAGTTGAAGATGGGGGTTGCCATGTTGAAGAAAAGGGTATTAAATAAAGATCTCCTTCGTATTGTCAGTTCTGAACAAAAGAGTGGTTAGTCTTTGAACTACCAGGCAGGAGAAATCTGACCAAAGAGAAACACTGAGAGTCAAGGGCCCTTATAAGCAATGGCCCAGTTATAAATGCAGCTAGTGACACATGTCAGTCAAAAGCTAATTCCATGTGTACAGAATTAGCTTCCAATTTGTCTTAAAATGTGAACATATAGCAAAAGCTTAGCAGATATTTGAGAAAAAACTCTGAATAGGAGATATCTAAAGCAAAAGCAGCAAAAAAAGAATGGGGGGATGAAGGGAGCAGAAGAAAACTTCAAAGAAATTGAAATTAAATAATCAGAGCAAGAATGAAAGCTAATGAATATACAAAACAAGAACAGCAGACAATACAAAGGATAATTCAGAGAAAAAATATTTTAAAATATGGTCAAATTATAAAAACTCAAGAGAATGGATAAAAGGTAAGAAGGGTCTCAAGAAATTTCAAGTAATCTTTTAAAAAGGTACAACAAAAAGACAAAGAGATCAACAGTGAGGAAGAACTAAAGAAAAATTAAAGGCTGGAATAGGAGATTCAATATATAAGTAATAGAAATTCCAGAAAGACTGGATAGAACAAGAAGAGAGTAAGTTCTCAAATAAATTTTTTTTTCATAACTGAATGCCATAAGTTGTTAGACTGAAAGGCCTATTGCATGCCCCGCAAAATCAATGACTTGTCTTTCTCTTCCTTTAAACATTGGACAAAATTTATCTTTTCCAGAAACTTTTATAGTAATGCTTTTAGTTCTTCTGAGCGTTGTATGTTCATATGCACATTGTCACAATTACAGGTATATTCCTCAGTTTTTAAGACATGTGTTAAAAAAACTGATCATAAAATAAGTCAGCAAAGAAAAACACCATATGATTTCACTTATGTATGTGGAATCTAAAAAACAAAACAAACAAAAAAGAAATAAACTCATAAACATAGACAACAGACTGTAGGTTACCACAGTAGAAAAGGCCAGGGTGCAAATGGGGAAGGGAATAAAGAGGTACAAACTCCAAATTATAAAATAAATTATCATAGGAATGGAAGTACAGCAGAGGGAATGTAGCCAATAAAATCGTAATATCTTGGTATAGTGACAGAGGGTAACTACATTTAAGCATGGTGAGCACTTAATACATGTAATTGTAAAATCACTATGTTTACATCTGAAACCGATATGGTATGTCAACTATATTCCAATAAAAAAAGAAAATAACTAAATGATTGTGATATTAAGCAAGTGATAAAGATTAAAAAAAGGTACAGAAAAGTCTCACCACTATACCTTTGAGTTGATTTTCAACATACAATATTTCACAGAATTTGTGACTGATTGCAGGACACACCATTATTTCATGAGCTACTAAAAAAGTAAAAATGCTCCCAATTAAAAGCAACAAACAATGCTTTCTTATCACTTAGAATTTTTATTTTATACTTATTGAATGAATATTACACAATTCATAGTTTTACATCCTCTAAAAGTAAAAACTCTATGTAAAAATGTTAATGTATTGTATAGCTATAAAAATTAGGATAATGTGTCTTGAAAACTAGTAAATTTCTAGGCATTTTCTTCGTAAGACGAAGCCTGCAAAATACCAATATTAGTAAAACAGGGTCTACTATAGTATTGGTTTAATTATTTTAAGCCATTTAAACAATCAGTTCTCTGTTAAGTCACATGTAAGCTTTCTGAAAAGCTTTCCAGTACCAATGACCAAAATACTGTATTGTATGAATTCCTATTACACACTTTGAGAGGCTTTATGGCTCTGTGATTTATTCACCTACAAAAGTATTGAGGAGATTTTTTATTGGCATGTACTGCCATAACACAGGGTATGAGGTCAGTGGGTGTTTGATAACCAACAAAGATTTCTGAAGTTTGAATGTGACATTTTTCAGAAAGACATTAGCCCACAGATATATATAAATGCAATATACTAAGTGTTTTGATTCAAGAGCAGGCATATTTATTTTAAGATAATATAAGAATGTAAACAGATTGCTTTACAATTATATTTTACAATAAGAACAACAGACTGTAACTTAAGTTAAATTTCTTAATATGAAATTACTCTGAAAAGTACCATAAATCTTTTACCATGTAGACTTCCTGCAAAGAGTCTTGATATTAAATTACAGAAGGAAATGCTAAGAATAGCATACATGTATTTAGAATATTATTATTCTGAAAGCAATAAATCTTTTTAATATTCTAACAATATTTTAACAACAATCCAGTGAGATATACTTATCTCCCATTTGACAGATGATAAATTTCAGGAGTGATAATAGAGAATTGTTTAATTTACTAATCTCTTCCATTTTAATTGATCATACAGAATATTTCACTTATTCCCATTTCAATATTTAATATGCTATAGCCTTATGAATAAATGAATATCCACTCACACTGATAAGCAATAAAGAATAAAGGTTGTATATGTAGTATTCCTTGGGAGAATGGCAGATTTATAAAGAATTTTAACAAGCTAATTCAGTTTTGAATCTATATTTATAGAACTGTTCTAAATAGGAATTTTTCCACGTATGCAAGATCATGTAAGTTATAGTGAAGATAAAAGCAAATGGCATTTTTACAATTATTTTAAATAGCAAATAATGAATATTGAGAACACTCAGTATAAAGTAAAACAGACCTGGGGCATGTTAAATGAGTGGGAGGCATTTTAATTTAGTCAGTCAATTGAGTCAACCTTCAAAGCAGGTGAAATTAAATTATTATACTATGTGGAATCCTCAAACTTATGAATCATATATTTATCAACATAATAAATTATATCAGATAAAGAATGTAAAAAGTCTAACAAATACATAGTCAATGCCAATAATAATATTTTCTTGGAAGTAACATTACTTCCATAAATATGCTGATGCAGAATTTTCAATTTCACATTTAATAACTTAAAAAAACAAAGTATTTCCTATTTTCATACACAAAAGCAAGGTAATAGCTAAAGTGTGTGCAATTTACAATAAATACATCTTAGAAAAGAAGATAAATGAACTTATCTTCCACATATAATGTATAAATAAATGCTCTATTTTTGCATATGTATCCCTTTATATTTTTTATTTGAACACATTTCCAATAAGTACTATCAAATCATTTTCTTCATGTGAAAATCTCATTTTGTTTTTCAATATAAGTTTTTCTTTTCTCTTTTAAGACATACTATTTTAATTTTCTCAACATACTATTTGTTACTACTGGCTGCTGGGTGTCGCTTCTGCATGTGGTCCTTTTGTAAGAAACAAAATGTTAATTTCTACCTAATATATACATCAGTCTTCCAAACGATTTTATATTCGTCTTTTATAGTACTCATTTTGATGCTATAGACATATACTAACATCAAACAATAAGTGCAGAGTTGTCAGATATTATTTTTACTAGTGTTATCAACATGCACCATCTGCAATCAGGAGCAGCATCATGTTAAGACAATAACAATGACAATGACTATCGCTACAACTACCAGTGCTTCCCCCATCAATATATGACTCTTTTTTAGAAAAAGAACCTACATTTTAAATTTCTTTACTGTATACAGAAAAGAATACATTCTGTTGACTTTGGTAAATGAACAAAAACTTAAAAAACTTCATGATTCAAACAATATATGTTAATTAAGTACTTTTAAAAGTTTAAAGTACAATGTAAACCATCATATTATATAGTAGCTTAATTTCTATTTGTTTTTCAAAATTATTTCAGTGTAATTAAAAAACATAAATAATTGGGATTTATTAATAATTCTAAGGGCTCTAGGCTAAGTCTTAAGGAATATTCATTTTCTAGAAATAAGTTCACAGTCTAAAACCAAGGAAAATATGTTGCTCATTTTTAAGTGATTTAGATTCCAGGAGTCATATTATTTTGAAATGAAGCAGATTTCTATTAGGATTTCTATTAAGTTTAAAAAAATACTTAAAATACATTCTTACATAGTCATTGGAAGTATCTATATACTTCTCAAAGGAATGAAAAAGTGCAGAGTTCAGTAAATCAAGGTAAAAGCTCAAATTGATAACACATAACATTTGTAGTTTTAATAAGAAGGTACATTTTATCTGTCTTACGTTCAAGAAAAAGTTATAATTAGCATTTCACCTTTTCCTTCATTTCTCCATGTTCTGATCTCAGACCTACTTCTGCTCTCTGAAATTTTGCTTCTTCCATTTGTTATGTAGATAATAATCCTTTAAACTTTGTTACAGAAGTACCTAATAAAAAGTATATATATAAAAGCAGTATCTATTTAGGATGAAATTCAAAGGTGATGGCAATAATCATGTATTATTACAGTAATAATATGAAACAGTAAGGCACATAATAAAAACACCCAATTGACAATATAACATTCAAAGACTCAATCATAGAATATTTCCTCTAATTTGAAACTTCAGTATTTTGTTTAGTGACTTGTCTAATCATATTATAAAGTAAAGGTCTAGAATAAATGTAATCATTTTTACCTTTGGTTCTATGTACAACTATAGAGAATCAACAATGTCTGTGTGACGCTGTTTTAAGTTCGTTGAGAATACTGCCTATAAGGACACAAATGGTGTGTCCTACCTTTCTGTAAATGTGCAATAGAAGTTCTTATAGGGCAGTAAGGAACTTTCATTCCTTAAAAGAGAGATTTAGGAAGATTTGACTTCTTCTGTTAGCTCAATCACTACAGTTATCACCTTAGATAAATATATAAGCCTACTTGCCAATAAACATGTTAAAACAGCATTTTCCAAAATGGGTTCCATAAAACATTAGGCCTCAAAGCTACTTTGCAAAATACTGAGTACTGTTTTCTTTTAGAGACACAAATGAATAGAGGCATATTAAGACCTGGTAAGTTCTATGGGGGAAGGAACCTATTTAACCATGTTTATTATACTTCTCAAACTTTATTGACAAAGCAGCACCCCCCTTTTTTTTTAAAGAAGAACATGCACTGATATCCTATGGAACCACTTTGGCAAATACTGCTATGGAGAAATAAAACAATTTCCAGCTTAAGAAAAAACAGCAAGAAATATACATTTACAAGCACGTATGAATGAACAAAACCTTTACTGTAGATACCTAACTGATCAGAACCCACAAGTGACCAAAATTTTATAGCTACCATTGATTTTTAAAAGAAAAAGGAAAGAGGAAATCCTTCATTTTGGAGATCAGCAAGAAATTTGAGATATTTCTTTGGGTTGATACAAACTGAATCTCCTCTATCTTCTTTAACTACCACTTTCTATGGTGACAGTGTAGTAAATAATGAATAAGATGGCTTTGCCATCGGACAGAATGAAGCTCAAATCCTAGTTCACCACTTACTAACAAGTTATCTTGAGCAAATTACTCACTAAGCCTTTATTTTCTCTGCTGTTAAATGGAATATCTATCTGTGAAGATTAAAGAAGATACTATACTGGAAGAACACCTAGTATAGTGCCAGGAACCTAAAATAACTCAAAAAATCACTGCCATAATTGTAGCAGATGTTTGAAATCCTGATCCTATAAAACAATAACAAATATCCCTTTGATGCTAATGGTCCTAGATTATAAAAACCCACCTTGGATTCATTGTATTATACCTGCCCAGATGTAAAACTGCAGGTTACTGAAAATTTTTCAGTCAGGATATTCCAAATTAGGTAATTATTTCAGTTCATTTTTAGATCACAACTTAATAGTGGCAAGCTAATGCTTTTTATAACGACTAATTTTTAAATTTAACTCCTGGTCTAAAATGAAATAATTAAAATACTAATTCTTAAATTGAATTAGTGGCTTAAAATTATTAAAAAATTATAATTCTACTTCTTTCATCTATTTCCAAAATATCATAAAAAAATAAATTATGACCCTTCCTTTATGGTTACTGAACAAATTTAGACAGTGAAGCTAACATACTTATCTGCTATGAAGTTCCTTCTTCAGACAGGATTTGAAAGTGGGATACTTCTGAACTGTTTTATAACCCTGTGGAACAGATGATTTAAATTGTGCAAATGTAAATAATGTTATTGGCCAGATTCACAATAAATAAAGCAAAACTAAAAGCACACATAACCCCTAAGAGAGAAATACAGTGTCAGAGGTTTATAGCATAGTTTAAATTTTAATTTGATCTTTCCACTCAAAAAATTTTGAGGAAAACTGATCTGTAATGCATGCTGTCATGTATTTGCGCCATCGTTGCAAATGCTAACAACTAACCACTAGGTGGCAGTTAAGTACATACTATCTTTACCTGCACAGCTTAGGTTTACTACTAAAAATAATGTCTAAGGTGATCTTTTTTGTATATACATTTTCTCTTTTTAAATGTATAATATGTAGAGATATTCTTACAAAAGAGGGAAGATTGACTATCCTAGCTGTTAATCTTAATAGAAAAAATTTTTTTCCATTTGTAGCACATCACAGATGTTAGATGTATAAACATTTATTGATTCATGCTATATTTCATTATTTAAAATAATGAATTACTTTAAATTATTATGAAAAAATTATTTAATATAGTTCTGAGAAAAAAAATCATTGAATTTCTAGTATAAGATGTGCATATAGGAAAACAGTTCAACAGACAAAAAAGTTTTTACCTTATTTTCCATATTAAAAAGTACTGGCTATTCAGTGATGTAAGAGCCTCAAGTTGCCTAATGAAAATTTGCATCATATAAAATGAGGAATAGTGATATTTCTTTGTATACTAACAAGTATGAACAGCCCTGTGTAAAATAAAATATTTATAAAAAATATTTGGCAACATTTGCCCCCACAAACTGGGATAAAGATATTAAGCTAATTATATATGAAAATAAGTTATTGAAATTCAAACTAATTTTATATTTAAAAAAAGTATTAACTTTTATCACCTCAAATTGTTTTTGAAAGTATATAGAGCCTTATGTTTTTCTTTCCAAGTACAACATTTCATGTTTATATCATTAAGATTTTTTTCTTTCAGTTTTTAAAAAAGATTATCAATAAGCTTGAAATATATAGGTTTACCCGGAATCCTCTATGCAGTCTGTCTTTCATAATTCCAATAAATTCTTTATAACTTAATTGATCATCTTTGTCAACATCAAAAATCTTGAAGACTGTGTTCACTAAATGTGGTGAAAGTTTGAGGCCAGTAGCTACATAGACAGCACGCTTAAATTCATCTAGATAAATGTCACAGAAATGGAGTAAACTGTTAACATTATTTTTATAATATATGTTAATTACCAGAAAAGTTATTAAGTAAGCTTTTTTTCTAAACACAGGTCATGATCTTCTAAAACATATGACGTTTCATTAATCATGCTATCTTTTAGGGAACAAGAATTTTTGTGGTTTTAATTAAGAGGGCCAAGGAATAGCTGTATCTTAGGTTAACAATGCATTCAAATTCAGTGTTTAATGAGCACCTACTATCAGTGACAGACACTAGGGATTATTAAGATGAATACATTCTCAAGAAACTTACTGTTCAGATGGGAGATGAGACACCTGCCCAAACAACCTTTACACAGAACAACACCGAAAGGAACAACAAGGTACTGTGAGATTTGGAAATTAGTGATTACTTCTGTCTGTTGGGTGCAGTAGGGAAAATCGAGAGAAAGTCATGAGGAAAGCCTGCAATTTTGTATGTGAGCTGAGCCCTGAAGGACAGCTTGTACAGATGAGGGGAAATAGTAGATCAGAGGACAGGAATGAACAAAGGCATGAGGTGAAAGAGGAGAGAATATGGCATGTTCTGAAAATACGAGCAGCTGCTTGGGTAGAGTCCAGGGGACACACAGGAGCTAGAGAAGCTCTGCACAGGGACTTTGAGGCCAGGCATCTGTACATTCTTCAACAGGCAACAGGGAGTTGAAGAGTGTTCCACAAAAGTGTGTTGTAGAAAGGTCAACCAATCTGTGCTTTAGAACAATTATTCTGTGAGTGGTACAGGAACCGTCAGGGAGGACAATGAATAATGGCAGGAACACCACTGAGGGCACTACTGCAATAGACCTTTTCAGAGGTAGCGGTCTGAATTAAGGTACTAGTAGTGGCAACAGAAAAGGAGATAGATCCGAGCACCTGTAAGAATACACAATTTTTTCATTCCCACAAAGTAAAAAAGCAACTTTCCATTCTGAACCAGGTAGGCAGATAATGACATTTTTTTCTTTGTAAGGTTGTTAGTAGGTGTATCATGGTAATAATACAATGTCTGTGTGACGCTGTTTTAAGTTCGTTGAGAATACTGCCTATAAGGACACAAATGGTGTGTCCTACCTTTCTGTAAATGTGCAATAGAAGTTCTTATAGGGCAGTAAGGAACTTTCATTCCTTAAAAGAGAGATTTAGGAAGATTTGACTTCTTCTGTTAGCTCAATCACTACAGTTATCACCTTAGATAAATATATAAGCCTACTTGCCAATAAACATGTTAAAACAGCATTTTCCAAAATGGGTTCCATAAAACATTAGGCCTCAAAGCTACTTTGCAAAATACTGAGTACTGTTTTCTTTTAGAGACACAAATGAATAGAGGCATATTAAGACCTGGTAAGTTCTATGGGGGAAGGAACCTATTTAACCATGTTTATTATACTTCTCAAACTTTATTGACAAAGCAGCACCCCCCTTTTTTTTTAAAGAAGAACATGCACTGATATCCTATGGAACCACTTTGGCAAATACTGCTATGGAGAAATAAAACAATTTCCAGCTTAAGAAAAAACAGCAAGAAATATACATTTACAAGCACGTATGAATGAACAAAACCTTTACTGTAGATACCTAACTGATCAGAACCCACAAGTGACCAAAATTTTATAGCTACCATTGATTTTTAAAAGAAAAAGGAAAGAGGAAATCCTTCATTTTGGAGATCAGCAAGAAATTTGAGATATTTCTTTGGGTTGATACAAACTGAATCTCCTCTATCTTCTTTAACTACCACTTTCTATGGTGACAGTGTAGTAAATAATGAATAAGATGGCTTTGCCATCGGACAGAATGAAGCTCAAATCCTAGTTCACCACTTACTAACAAGTTATCTTGAGCAAATTACTCACTAAGCCTTTATTTTCTCTGCTGTTAAATGGAATATCTATCTGTGAAGATTAAAGAAGATACTATACTGGAAGAACACCTAGTATAGTGCCAGGAACCTAAAATAACTCAAAAAATCACTGCCATAATTGTAGCAGATGTTTGAAATCCTGATCCTATAAAACAATAACAAATATCCCTTTGATGCTAATGGTCCTAGATTATAAAAACCCACCTTGGATTCATTGTATTATACCTGCCCAGATGTAAAACTGCAGGTTACTGAAAATTTTTCAGTCAGGATATTCCAAATTAGGTAATTATTTCAGTTCATTTTTAGATCACAACTTAATAGTGGCAAGCTAATGCTTTTTATAACGACTAATTTTTAAATTTAACTCCTGGTCTAAAATGAAATAATTAAAATACTAATTCTTAAATTGAATTAGTGGCTTAAAATTATTAAAAAATTATAATTCTACTTCTTTCATCTATTTCCAAAATATCATAAAAAAATAAATTATGACCCTTCCTTTATGGTTACTGAACAAATTTAGACAGTGAAGCTAACATACTTATCTGCTATGAAGTTCCTTCTTCAGACAGGATTTGAAAGTGGGATACTTCTGAACTGTTTTATAACCCTGTGGAACAGATGATTTAAATTGTGCAAATGTAAATAATGTTATTGGCCAGATTCACAATAAATAAAGCAAAACTAAAAGCACACATAACCCCTAAGAGAGAAATACAGTGTCAGAGGTTTATAGCATAGTTTAAATTTTAATTTGATCTTTCCACTCAAAAAATTTTGAGGAAAACTGATCTGTAATGCATGCTGTCATGTATTTGCGCCATCGTTGCAAATGCTAACAACTAACCACTAGGTGGCAGTTAAGTACATACTATCTTTACCTGCACAGCTTAGGTTTACTACTAAAAATAATGTCTAAGGTGATCTTTTTTGTATATACATTTTCTCTTTTTAAATGTATAATATGTAGAGATATTCTTACAAAAGAGGGAAGATTGACTATCCTAGCTGTTAATCTTAATAGAAAAAATTTTTTTCCATTTGTAGCACATCACAGATGTTAGATGTATAAACATTTATTGATTCATGCTATATTTCATTATTTAAAATAATGAATTACTTTAAATTATTATGAAAAAATTATTTAATATAGTTCTGAGAAAAAAAATCATTGAATTTCTAGTATAAGATGTGCATATAGGAAAACAGTTCAACAGACAAAAAAGTTTTTACCTTATTTTCCATATTAAAAAGTACTGGCTATTCAGTGATGTAAGAGCCTCAAGTTGCCTAATGAAAATTTGCATCATATAAAATGAGGAATAGTGATATTTCTTTGTATACTAACAAGTATGAACAGCCCTGTGTAAAATAAAATATTTATAAAAAATATTTGGCAACATTTGCCCCCACAAACTGGGATAAAGATATTAAGCTAATTATATATGAAAATAAGTTATTGAAATTCAAACTAATTTTATATTTAAAAAAAGTATTAACTTTTATCACCTCAAATTGTTTTTGAAAGTATATAGAGCCTTATGTTTTTCTTTCCAAGTACAACATTTCATGTTTATATCATTAAGATTTTTTTCTTTCAGTTTTTAAAAAAGATTATCAATAAGCTTGAAATATATAGGTTTACCCGGAATCCTCTATGCAGTCTGTCTTTCATAATTCCAATAAATTCTTTATAACTTAATTGATCATCTTTGTCAACATCAAAAATCTTGAAGACTGTGTTCACTAAATGTGGTGAAAGTTTGAGGCCAGTAGCTACATAGACAGCACGCTTAAATTCATCTAGATAAATGTCACAGAAATGGAGTAAACTGTTAACATTATTTTTATAATATATGTTAATTACCAGAAAAGTTATTAAGTAAGCTTTTTTTCTAAACACAGGTCATGATCTTCTAAAACATATGACGTTTCATTAATCATGCTATCTTTTAGGGAACAAGAATTTTTGTGGTTTTAATTAAGAGGGCCAAGGAATAGCTGTATCTTAGGTTAACAATGCATTCAAATTCAGTGTTTAATGAGCACCTACTATCAGTGACAGACACTAGGGATTATTAAGATGAATACATTCTCAAGAAACTTACTGTTCAGATGGGAGATGAGACACCTGCCCAAACAACCTTTACACAGAACAACACCGAAAGGAACAACAAGGTACTGTGAGATTTGGAAATTAGTGATTACTTCTGTCTGTTGGGTGCAGTAGGGAAAATCGAGAGAAAGTCATGAGGAAAGCCTGCAATTTTGTATGTGAGCTGAGCCCTGAAGGACAGCTTGTACAGATGAGGGGAAATAGTAGATCAGAGGACAGGAATGAACAAAGGCATGAGGTGAAAGAGGAGAGAATATGGCATGTTCTGAAAATACGAGCAGCTGCTTGGGTAGAGTCCAGGGGACACACAGGAGCTAGAGAAGCTCTGCACAGGGACTTTGAGGCCAGGCATCTGTACATTCTTCAACAGGCAACAGGGAGTTGAAGAGTGTTCCACAAAAGTGTGTTGTAGAAAGGTCAACCAATCTGTGCTTTAGAACAATTATTCTGTGAGTGGTACAGGAACCGTCAGGGAGGACAATGAATAATGGCAGGAACACCACTGAGGGCACTACTGCAATAGACCTTTTCAGAGGTAGCGGTCTGAATTAAGGTACTAGTAGTGGCAACAGAAAAGGAGATAGATCCGAGCACCTGTAAGAATACACAATTTTTTCATTCCCACAAAGTAAAAAAGCAACTTTCCATTCTGAACCAGGTAGGCAGATAATGACATTTTTTTCTTTGTAAGGTTGTTAGTAGGTGTATCATGGTAATAAATGCTAGTGTGTGAAGACAGGGCTCCCAAAAGTTTTGGTTTTAAAACACTCAAATGGGTTGAGTTGAAGTCACCAGGTTAGCTCAATTAGTAGATCGTGAGACTCAAAATGGGTTGAGTTGAGAAGATAACTCATTTGAACATCTAGATTAGACCTTGGGTTAAGTGTGAAAAATTTTCAGGTTTTTCTTACTTGGTGAATAAATGAATGAAGCTATATGAGGGATTCAATATCTATGCTTTGGGAGAGAGATAATTATCATTAGCACTCAGGGGCTGTAATTTGGCTTCTCCCCAGAACTTAGCAATAAAATAACACAGAACTGTCCACTGAGATTTAAGCTTGGGAATTAGCAATTATTAGATTATGGCAGACTCAGGTAAAATCACCTTAAAGACATAAACAAAGTCCTCATATGGCAAAAATATTTTTAAAAGATGGATATAGGGATGGGAAAGTGGTCATAGTCACAGAATCCTAGAAAAAGGACTGGACTTGTTAGTCTATCTTCAGAGAAACAATGAGCTGGTCCTGAAGACAATAGCATTCTGAATTCTAAGTATAGTATTACTTTGTACATTAGGCAAAACCAACATTCCATTTTACATATCATTCTCAAAACTTGATTAATCCAAGTCCATAGCTAAGAGGAGGCTCTGTTGACAAAATTCAGGTTCCTGAGCTAGCAGATTGTGGGTACAATCAGTACTATAATGTCATCCTGTGACGTTATTTGGGGCGTGGCCAGCTGGCTCTTCTACAGGTAGACACGTATCCCTCAATGTGACCAGGCCTCTATGAGGTTCTTTCCTCCGGGATTTACAAACATTATTAGCTTTTCCCTGTAATCTGAAATGAAGGGCAATAATACATTTAATACAAAAATGTGGTGTATTTCTCTAAACTTTGTTTAGGGAAAATGAATTTCCCATTGAAGTATACACCAAACTTTGGGGCAAGGTGATGGGTAATATGATCTACCTGATAATTAATTTGTTGCCAAAGTCCCTGGAAACATGTTGGATTATTTTCTGCTTTTAATTATTGAAAGATGATTACTTACCTTGCCCAATAGAACGACTTGCAAAGTTATACATATTCAAGGCTATTGCAAAGTCTTCTAGGTTGTTCAAAAACTGGAAAAATGACCTGAATTCATCAAATGTGATGCCCTATGTTGGGAGAATATATGTAAATATAGTTAGTATTGCTAAATTTCTTAAAATGAGAGTCTATACTTACTAGAAATAAATAGATTAAGTATCTGCAGTGTATCTTGTAAGTAAACATTTCCAGGGCACAAACTGAAACCTTCTTTGCCCAAATAGAATGTAAAATTCACTCAGGTTTATTTCCACTGGGTAGTGTTGCTACCATAGGTGAAAAATATTTTAAAAACATTGTCATACCAGCACAAACTCCCAAAAATTTCTACAATAAAAATGAATTTAAATGTCTTAATTTTGAAAGCTCTATATTTTAGGCCTCAATTTTTTAAACCCTGAAAGTAAATATGATACTTAATAAAAAAAAAAAAGAGGGCAAAAAAAATAACCCCTAAAGAAACACTTTCTCTGAACATGTGCTCCTTAAATGTAATTCAGCATTAGGTCATTACTGTCTTTATTATGACAATGCAAAATCAAAATACTGTTTAAGCCAACACTAGTGTATTTTTACTACTTCCTGCCTTGATAACACTGCCAGGACACAGGAACAAGCACAATGACTGTACACATACAGTTCTGGGAGGCCCAGCACAGGGCTCAGTAAAGGACTCTGTGAAGGACTCTGGAATGTCATTTCCATAAATTGCAATTATTGTCACTGCTATTACTTCAATTAAGTAGAAAAGTTATTTGAAATAAGCACAATGTATCTCAGATAAAACAAATTTGGAGAGCTGCATTTCATTAATGTGTACTCGGAAAAATTAACATAATTGAGAGAGTACATAAACAGAGAAGAAGAGTGGAGGGGTAAGAACTCAGGCTTAACAAATTCTAACCTTATTATAGGGATCACAGGGGAAGAGAAACTAACGAGGCAGCACCGGAAAGCTAGGGAAGAACCAGAAGAGTCGACTTTTATCTAGGTTAACTACTGATTAAATGATTTATTATGAAAATAATACCAATTTTTGGTATACATTATTTCCACTTCAATTGCAACCCTGCTTCATGTGCAAGGGAATCCCCTCTCTTTTCTCTTTACGTTTTTCTCTTTCTTTCTCCTTGTATTCATTATGGCCCTCCAGCCCTGGATTCTGCTTGGTAACCTGATCCCACCTGCCGTGTTTTCCAGAGAGGGCTGTTTGAATCAGTTAAGGACTCTGAGCCAGAAGGGGTTTGTCTTGCTGTGGAGAGCTTGTTGCCAGGGAAACTGGCCACTGCTCTGGGTCTGTATCAGTTTATGCGCGACCAGCTGCCACAGCAACAGTCTCGACCTCAGGGGGACAGGTTAACGCTGGTGAAGGTGAAAAACAGGACGATGGCATATTTTTAAGCAAAGAGTAAAACAAAACTTTTAGGGAGCATAAAATTAAAAAGCAAATCAAAGAATGACAGAATACAATGTTCACCATCTGAACCTTTAGATTTTTCAAAATTGGTTTCTAATGTTTGAAAAGACAGGTCAAACTCAAATGAAAATTTTTGTGTAAACTCTTTGTTTTTGGAAAAATGGAACTGTAAGTTGAAAAAACAGGGCATTAGTTTTGATGGCAATAATTTAAAGCAATCCATTCTTAGCGGTGAGGGAAAGATAGTCTGGGGAGCGGCACACTGAGCGAGTATGGTCATTCCTTCTCCCTCCCCACCCCCACCGCAGAACCACTTCTGTAATGAACAATTGAGACTTGAATGGAACATGTCCTAATTGTTAGAAGTGTAGTGAAAAGAAGTAGCTTACATGTCAACAAAAACAAAATGATGGCAATGGAAAAATTTAAAGCATCAAAAATACATATACTGATAGTCTAGAAATAAACCCAAATGTCTATGGTCAACGGATTTTCAGTAAGGGTGCCAAGACCATTTACTGGAGAAAGAACAGTCTCTTTTTCAGATGATGCTGGGACAACTAGATATCCACATGTAAAAGAAAAGAGCTGGACTCTTTTTTTACTACATATACAAAAATTAACTCAAATGATCAAAGACCTAAATTTAATAGCTAAAATGTAAAACTCCTACAAAAAAAACACACAGATACATCTTTAAGTACTATCAATTCACTCAACAGGGGTTCCAGGTGCCATATATATATGAGTGAATAAAAAAGATAAAATTACCAGATTTCCTGAGCTTTCATTCTAGTGGGGGTAGACAAATAAATAATAAAAATAAGTCAAGTCTATTTTTTATCCAGATAAACAATGAAATATATAAATAAGCAAATTATAACTGACAAGAAGGGTTGGGCACCAATTCCCCAAGTAGTTGAAAATCTGCTTTTGAGTCCCCAAAAACTTAACTATTAATAGCTTACTACTGTTGGACAGTCTTATGGATAACATAAACAGTTGATTAACACATATTTTGTAATTATATACATTATATACTGTATTCTTACAATAAAGTAAGCTAGAGAAATGAAAATGTTTTTTCAAATTGTGGCAAATCTCCAAAACATTTTTCAATATATTTATTGAAAAAAATCCACATATAAGTGGACCTAAGCAGTTTAAACCCAGGTGGTCTGAGGGTCAACTGTACATATATAAGTTAGAAGATGATGATGCTATGGAAATAAAAACAGATTAAGGGAAGAAGGAATAGGAAATGTCAAGGGAGAGGGTAGTAATTGCTATAATAGGTTATTATGTATATAACAGGCTATATATAATTTACATAATAGGTGATTATATATTAGCTTGGAAGGATAGGCTTCACTGAAAAGAATATCTAAAAGGAGAGAATTCTGGGCAAAGAAAGGAATATATACAAAAATACTGAAATAGAAGAGTGCCTGGTATTGAAGACAGTAAAGTGGCCAGTGTGACTGGAGTAGAATAGCAAGGGGAGGAATGGTAGGAAATGATGTCAGAAGTAATGAGGGAGCGGCCAGTGCAGTTCTTGTAGGCACTGTACAAACTTTGCTTTTACTATGAGAAAAATGGGGAGTTCCTATGATAAATCTGAATCATGGTATACAGCAATTCCTTGAATACTAAAGGAGAGCAGATTGTAAGGAGGCAAGGCTGGAAGCAGAGAGATGACTTAGAAGGCAACTGTGATAATTGAGGCAAGAGAGAATGGTGACTTGGGTGGTAGCAGTGGAGGTGGCAAGAAGTGGCGAAATTCTGACAGGCAGCATCAGGAGGATTTGTTGATAGATTGTATACAGAACAGGAGAGGAAGGGGTCCACAGTGGTGGCTAGAACAACTAGGAAGAGTGAAGTTTCCATTAAGTGAAATAGAGACTATGGTATATGGAGTGAACTTTTTCTTGGGATGATCAGAAGTTGAATTTTGCAACTATTGAGCCTACGATGTCTACTGGATACTCAAGTGGTTATGATGTAAAAGTCTCAAATTCAGGGGAGAAGTTTAAGATGGAGACACAATCTGGACGTCTATATACTAATAGTTACCAAAAGTAGCCCTGATTGCAGCCCTAAACACTATAGACCTCCAACTGCCTGCGTAATTTCTTCACCTAGACATCCCATAGGAATCTCAAACTTAACTTGTTCAAAGTAAAATTATTGTTTCTTTCCTACCACCAAGCAGGCTTGTTTAGTTCAGCAAATGGCACCACTATTTTACCGTGGTTCAGGCCAAAATCCTAGGCATTCTTGATTCCTCTTTTATCTTCACATCAATATTTAATCCACCAACAAGTTCTTTCAGCTCTGCTTTTTAAATGATCCAGAATCAGTCCATTTTTCTGTACTTTCCTTTTTTACTGTGATGATTTCTAGTACTTAAGATCCTTCTGTCAATTAGAAGTTTTCAGTTGAATTTAACTTAAAACTTTTAATTTTGAAACAATTCTAAATATAAAAATAGTTTCCAAAACAGTAAGAGTTCTCATGCCCTAAATAATATCCAAGCAGGCTGACAAAGCAGTACAATTTCCAATATTCATTTACAGGGAAGTGTCTATGAATTGGAAAAATTCAGTGTATGTAAAACAGACGAAAGTCCCCTAAGAGATTATGTAAACTAATGGCCAAATACATCTTTTCTTCTCATTCCTTAGGGGACCTGGAGAATTGTTAGCAGTGTCACAGTGTATCCATTTTAAACAAAGTCAAACTATCAGCAAGTTTTTCTTGGATAGATTCACTTGATCCTTCTACAAACACAAACAGAAGTCAATATATCTAAAACATCCCACACTTGACGGGTATACTTGTCACACCAGTTCTATTTGGTTGCAACGATGCATTCAAATTCCACTAGATAATGCAACTGCTCAGAAGTGCAGACAACACATTTGCTACTCAACAAATAGACGATCAGTTGTCCCAGGTTCTTAACCATTCATATCATCCAAACTCCTTGAAAAAACCTCACTTCAACTGCCGATAAGATCACTCACTCATCAAAGGCTGTCTTCAAATGATCTTTTATTAAGGATATTATAGAAATGAATAAAGAGTGACTGACATGATGTTAATATAAACTGTTTTATATGATGTGATGTTTCTGTAGTAGTCGAAGCATACAGTACAGCAAAATTCTTTTGAAAAATACTATTCATAATCTGATTAAACCAATTGCTAATAACTTTAAGGGTTTTTAGCATATCTAAGGAAAAACATGTATTATCTGCCCAGAATTTTAAATTAATCAATTTTTAAAATTGAGCCAGAGCACTTAGGACACAGGAGAAAAAAGAATGAAATATATACAAAGAATCTATTAACCCACAGACGATCAAAAGAACTAACGAAAGGACAATATCTTTTATAGACCTATATAATTACCATATGTAACAAAATCAACATGAGGGATTGGATACCTTTTCCTCAGCTATACTGTAACGCACATTTTCCAGAAATACTGATGTATTTTCTACATTTGTATATCGTAAAAGAATATGAGCAAAATCTTCTTCACTGATAGTGTTCATCCCATTAGAGTAGGAAAGGAATTCTATTTCTAGAACTTCTGTTTGGAGGTTATCCATGAATCTATAACAAAAACATATAAGGAATGAATAAGACAAATGAAGAGTGATGGTAACAGATGGTACTTAGCCTCTCAGGGCTTTAGCTTCCTCGCCTAGAATGGGGATAAAAAAAAATACTGTGTTGGGTAGTAATGAGACTTAAAGACGTTGACTGTAGTGCCTGCTGTTACTACACTAGACAGGGTATATACATGCTTCTTATTACCACTGTGGCCTATTGAGACTACGGAGTTGGTGTCATTCCTTCTCCCGAGATAGAGGAAATAATCCAGATGTCCAGACCTCTTTTATCATTCAGTAACTTCCCACTAATCAGTATAACCACTGGTATGCAGGTACTGATAGAAATGGTATTTGTTAAAGAACATTTTTAGTTAAGATAAAAGCAGCAAAGGGGAGCATATCACTGCATTAGATGATTTCATAAGACCTTTCTGACTTAACCATATTTTTCAATAGAAATATAAAAATTAAGCTCACCTGTAAAAATCTTCAAAGTTGAGCTCAGCTTTTCCTTTCTTTCCAAAAAAGTGTACAAGAAGTGTAGTATCTATTACTAAACTTGCAATGTCATCAGCACGCTTAAAAAAAATCACAATGTAAAGTTGAGCTGCAATACACAAACAGAATAGGGATATACAATACCCCTTAAAGAATTTTATCAACATATAAATATCAAAAACATAAATATATTAACATTAGAATGAAAAAATTGAGGCTGTATTAACAAATGTCACTACAGTTAAAATGTTCAAGATTTGAAAACAGAAGTATGAATGAAATTCATTTTTACTCTCAAAAAATCTTAAAGATATGATTATATTTTAAGAAGTTTTCAACCTCAAATTAAGCATATAGGGTATCTACATTTTAAATTGTCTAAAATAGTTGAAATCCTTTAGCAATCCGCAAGTATTTTATTTTTATTTAAGTAATTTAGTTTGGCTTTTCCTAATCAACCTGAAAAATCCATTATTTGAGGATGTTCAAAACAGGAAAATTCTTCAGATGTACTGAATATTTTGGGCTGAAAAAGAATGGCCTCAAGCTTTACAAATCAGCTTCCTTTAATGATGATACTTTCTTGCTGTATTCCATACTTAACGATACTTCAAATAGAAAATACTCTATTTTAAAAGAGAAACTATAGTAATGTTACTTTGAAATTTACATCATTGGTAATTTTTTTCAAAGAAAAGTCATTTTTTTTTTAATGGGTAAGAAACTAACTTCAGTGGGTTTTTCTTTCCTGATTCAACTTGCTAAATCCAGATCCAATAAGTGTGTTCTTAAAATAGCATAATTACAGCCCTTATAAAGTATAATGGCCCATGGAAATATTCCTTCTTTACATTAATGTAGCTTTAATAGATTTTCCTTTCTTTTCCCTCCCTCCTCTTTTGTTTTCTGCCTTCTTTTTCTTTCCCTCTTTCTTCACTTGGCCATTAACTCATACCTATCTTACAAACTCAGGTACAAAAATCATAAAATTCAAATGATTGTAACTCTCCCATATACTCTCCTGGGAGATATAAGAAAAAGAACAAGTTAAATAATAACTACCATTTTCTGTATCAAAGAAAAATAAGATATAAATGTCCATCTAAAAGTACTTATCTGACATGTATTACTTGGCCAGAATCCTGATAAGTACTCCACAGAATATGTAAGAAAGAGAAAGCAAATATTTCTCTACAAAGGATCAGTTGTCTTGTATGTTCCCTGACAAAAAGTTTCATTTTACCCATCTCTATACCCTAAATTTTGGTAACCTTTTAATTTCTCATACCTTCTTCCAAGTTTTTCATGAACAGCTACTTTCACAACATTTGCTGGATCTCTATTTCCCTTCTCCCTAAACCAAATATAAGTCTTTTTAAAATAGTATGTTACCTTGATTACTCAAGTAATCAAAGGCAAAATTAGAATATGAGTGTAAATGAAGTATACGGAAGCTCTTTCTGATAGTTGTAAGATCTTTTGGAGAAAAGCCCAAGACCTTTGGGGGGAAAAAAGAATATGCTAATTATGGAAACTACATCTTCTAATTGGTCTTTTCTCCTCCAACATGTTCTTTTTTATCTATGAAACTGTTTTTCTAGTGATATTACCTTGATTACTCAAGTCTTAAAAACTCTAAAACGTAGGGTTATATTCTACTTTGTTGCCTCAAATTGTTGAAATTCTTCCGTAATTGTCTATTGTCTCTTTATATATAAATAGTTTAGATTTGGATTGTCCTAAATAATCTCTAGTATATATCCTCCTTATAATTGGCTTGGAAGATCTCTACTACTTCTTAGTTGAGTCTGCTGACAAGTCCCAAGTATTCTCAGGAGTTGGAATAAACTGGAAGTTCCCTGTAATATATTCAACTTCTTTGAAGGTCTGGCTCTTAGGTGGAAAAAAATATAGCCCGGAGGCCAGGTGCCACACACTATCTTTTAAATATACCTTCTTGAACAAGCTTATTAAGGATATTGAGAATATTAGTGGTGCCAGTCTCTCAGGGCTCCATATGTGACAGTGGACTAGTGCAATTCTGAGTAGTGCTCAAAGACCGCTGCCACCTTCCCCAGAAGCTTCAGGTTGAGGAGGGAGACCGCTGTAATGGAAAACGGACAGGACTTAACATCAGAAGACTTGGGTTCACTGACTTTTTTGACCTTCAGCTTCCTTATCTGTAAAATGGGAATAACCCTATCTTTAACAATGATTTTGAGGATAAAATTAGAATACGAGTGTAAATGAAGTATACAAATGTTCTTTTTGATAGTCATAAGATGCTTTAGAAAAAAGCCTAAGTAAGACCTTTGGGGAAAAAAGGATACGCTAATTATAGACATCCTTTTGTGATTTTGTACAATTGAGTCTGATCAGTTTATTACCCATGGAACAGCTTAAGTTAGTAGGGGGAGGAAATATTTGAGAATGCATGCCTATGTGGAGCATGACAGTGGAGACTCTAGCCAATCAGAAGTCAGCACGAAGAACTGGCATATCCATCTGGAAGCTAGAGGAATGGAATGTGGGGGAGGTACAGAATGGATAAGAGGAGGGGAAATGGCGTTTTAGAAAAAGTTGCTTACTTCACAATAAGCATAGTGTGGTAAGCAACTATGATGATTAGCTCAACAGTCAGATTTTTGGCTTTGAATCCTAACTTTTTTCTTATTACTTAAGTGACCTTGGGGAAGTTAATCTTTTTGAGGATAATATTATTCCCAGCAATAACAATAGTACCTATCCTAAGTGGTTGTGGGAGGATAGGTACATATGTAAATCATTCAGCACTATAACTGCCATATTGTACATGGTCAATAAATGTTAGCTATTATATATTTACTTTTGCCAAATCAGTATATTTCATGAAGTTGGAAAAAGACTAGACAATATAAAAAAATATCATAATGTTGAAGCTTAATGGAGAAAGATTTTTACATAGTAGTCTTCTTGTTACTGAGGCTACACATTACATAGATCTGAAAAAAATGCCTTAAAGCAAAACGTTACAGGAACACCAAAAGCTAGTGAACTCAGATAACATAATTATGAAATGTTTTCCTCTAGTGCTGCGATGTCCTTAACCTCAAGACACAATGCAATGAAATGAGATGGCTTTGTTTTATACAAGTTGTAAATAATGACCTCATTCATCCCATTTTTCTCATGCCCATTGAGCAGAGCAGATCTTCATTTACAGTCTTTCATCATCAAAATCTTATTAGACTTAGGTTGCACTTATCCAGATAATCCAGACCCACAGAGGCATAAGTAACAGTTTGACATTAGAGAAAAAAAATTAGAAAATGGAAATGGTGAACCCCCCCCCCCACCACCATTCAGTGAAACAGAGTACTGTTGGGAGTCATTGAAAACTATACCAGTGTCCTCGGTATCCTACGTGTTATATAACTTAAATCACAGGAGAGTTGAGACAAAAATAGAGACTTTATCCCTTTGATTCTTGTGCTCATTGTTAAAATAAAATGAATTCAGGTGTTTTCATAACAAAGCAAAGCAAAGCCACAAAAGAACCCCATGGGCCATTTACATGAAAGGCCCTTATCTAACTGTTTTGATTAAAAATTAGTTTAAGTGATGTCATCTAAGATGAAATAAACAAATTTAATATATTTGCACAAAATAAAAATGTCAAACTATGAAAATATTTTATTCTTTCAAGATATGTATTTTTAATTATTCACAATGTGATAACCTTTTCAAGCTCTGTCAAAAAGCTGTAGGAAATCTTCAAACTTAATTTGTTAGTGAAGGTTTTGAATAATCTACTGAAATTTATTAAGGACAAATAAAGCTTAAAGCCAGTAAGTAAAAAACTGAATTTCATCTGTAAAACTCAGAACAGTTTTTATGATTCTGCTACTCACAGATCATATTCAGCAAATGCATGATAGGCTTATATTGTACTACGTATTATCTATTTTTCAGTAAGAAAGTGGTGTCAGAGAGGTGATGAAATAGATAAAGGGGAAAAAAATTGAGCATGTTTGATATCTGGATCTGNTGTTTCTAAAAAAGGAGACTAAAAAGATGAAACATTTAAATGTTATGAAAAAAATCAAATTTAAAGTTTTGATTGCTATGACAAAAGTAGCACAGGATCCTGGAATAGAGAATAAGTGTGGCAGATCTGTGTGAGTCAATGATTGGGAAAGGCTACTCTAGATGAGGTGGTCAGGAAAGAATCTTTTTTTTAAAAGAGAAGAAAAGAAAGTGGTATCAGCGGTGGTATATTCAAATTTTCATTATAACATGGTTTCACTATAATTGAAAAAAAATCTTTGGCTAGAAACAGTTCTGGAATTAGGAATATGAGAGGCTAATCTCAAATATACCTAGAATATTTAAAGAGCAATGCTTCAATATTTTAAATGCATTTTAAATGTATAAGAAACAATGATATATAAATACAAATAGATTTCTAAGCTTCCATTCTGAACCAATATAATCCTGAATACTGATACTATAAGCAATTCAATGTTATACTAGCATCAGTAGTATCTATAAGGAATTACAATGAGTTGTAATTTAATTACAGTTACTTCTCAATATCCTCTCTAATGTGGGAGGGTAGTAACTGAGATAATCCCCAAATAATTATTTTACTTTGGAACACAATTTTCTTCTTTCATCTCTCCATCAGATTAATTTGCATGACGTTTGCATCAGTTCATTAATTTAGCAGTTTATGACTATAATGTATATTGATTACAACAAATGATGTGCTAGTCAACTGGCTCTCCAGGAAAAAAGAGCCGGATTTGTATTGCTTGCCCATTTCTATGCTATTACTACTCCCGTCATGGCTACTTTCAAGGTACACGGGACATCACGGAATGTCGAGTTGGAAGGAGATGTGCCGAATCTGCTCTGGGAAGCCATAAAGGCCAGCTCTGGTACACCTCTGATAGAGCGATGAGTATTGTCAAAAGATCTTACACATACCACATAAACTTTGAGTGTATAAAAGAGCTGACTGGTCATCTGAGAGTGAACACTTCTGACATAAAATCATATTCAACGTCTAATCAGCAGATTGTACCTAACTGTGAGAGTTTCTAGCAGAGTTAAATGAGATTAAAAATAGGGTGGAGGCAGAGAGGTAGACAGTCTAGTAAGGGGAGAGAACGGTGACATGACTTAATTTGAAGCTAGGTCACAGTTGGCTTGGAGGGCCTCTAAGGGTTAGTGTCTCCAGTTGCTCTTACTTTTATGCACAACTATTACATGGCTGTATAAATGATTACAGATTTAAGCACTTCTGAAATATCTGTAAATGTAATATCTATAAACATTTTATGCCTACAAATGGTTCAAATTTAAAAGGTAATTTTGGTATGTTCATGGCTGGTCATTATTATATCATATTTATATATCAAATGTAAATTAGAGATAGGGCAAAATGTTTTGCTTTGAGATTTTAAAATTGAGCACAAGTGACAATCAGCATTTCCATGTATTTGCCCTAGTCTAGAAGCATCAAGTAAGGAACACTGTATATATATATATATATATATGGATAGCAGAAATCGCACCTGATTTCATTTTACTTCTCCAAATATTTTTAGGTTTAATTTTTGAAAGTCAAATTTTAGAGAAATAAATGAGGCACCAACTTCAAAGAGAAAAAGAATGAAAAATGTATCTCCTAGTATTTACTGAAAAGATGTGGTAAGACTCATAGGCATCTCTATTAAAACTCTTGAAAATTCTCAAAAGGAAATATAACATAGTGCTTAATGTGAAAGACACAGCTCATCATCTTTTAAACTGACCAATCCTTGTTATGGTGGCACAATGACAGGAAGGGTGGGAGAACCCAGGTGAGAGCAGCATCAAGGTATGTGTCTCTGTGAATTTCAAAAATAGTAACAGTCTATCTACTTTAAATTTTACATTTAGGACTGGCAATGCTAAACAATGTCAAGTTAAAATACTCCTCCCTTCCTTGATTGACTGTTCCTGTCACACCTCCCCCACATTCCACCATTGGTAATATTAACTTAATATTAATATTGCACGATTGTAAACTTACCATAACTCTAAAGTGTAATCGACATTTTACCAAGTTAAAAGTTTCAGCACTTCATGTAACATTACAAATTATAAGGTTAAAAGATTCAGTAAATCTATAAAATAGCAATGTCAAGTTTCCTGAAAGTGATCCTTAAGAAATAACAATATTTCATTTTATTAAGTTGCAAACTTACGTGTTCTACAATATGCAAGTTGTTTAACATAGTCTATTATTAGAGTGACCTTCCAGGACCTGCCAGCACAGCTGACATGTTCAAATACCATTTATATATAGGAATTATTGCTTTGCAGGAAAAAAGGGAAAATATAAAATATATTTTGTTTCCATCATTGTGACTCTAAAATGAAATGAGAACTAGATTAACAAAATGGCAAACAGTACAAGGACCTGGTGGAGGTTTAATTATACCTCTGCGAGGTCTGAAAAGAGTGCTTGGCTTGTATTACGTCTCAGTGTGTCCCAATAGCTTCTGGAGACATGTTCCTCAGCTTCTGTTTTAAGTACCTGTAGAAGTTTTAAGAAGCACAACTGAAATCTAAAGAATAGTCACAAAGAATGATAACTTATACACTTTAAGTCTCTTCTAGCCAACCTTGAAAAGAAAACACATTAGCTTACCTTTTTTGTTTTCTGCTGCGCACAACGGTATTATATTACACTGCTGGTAAACTCGGGGTATTTTCAAAGGTGTAATGGTATATAACCACTATTTCTAAGTACAATGTGGCTTTGTCAAAAAAAACCACATCCTTCATCCCTTCCCCCATGCCTTTCCACCAAAACATGGTTAACTTCTAAGAAAGTGTAAAATAAAAATTGTGTTAACACTTTATGTGGAGTTGATTCATTTGGGGAAGATTCTGATAATTTTGTAGCAACCTACAAAATCCTGTTTAACTCAAAATGAACTACATTATGTTTTTGTATCAAAGAATGAAAAGGACTGTATCCATACTTTGGAGAAACAAAATTTTAATTAATCCAAACAGATAAAAAAGAAATAGTCTAGTTTAAGTCAGACTACTCAAAGCTACTCAAGGATTTGGTAGATGTGTCTATTGTGACCAGGTAAGGCACCTCTTAATTTATTGCAATGACAGAAGACCAAATTTATCTCAGTATTGGCTAGTCTTAAGAAGGTGATATCAAGATTAAGAAGTGGAGTCTAATCTTCACATGAAAGAAAACTACAAGTTTAACTTGGGTCTCTATAAATAAAAACAATTAAATGCAGTTTCTGGCAGGATTTATCACGGAAGATTTCACAGGTTCTCAGGTTTGGTGTTCTTTTGGTTATTGTGGAAAGAATATGTTGCATGATGTACTTAGGAGTGAGTGGATGATGAGAGAAAACTTTCACTTCTGTGTGTGTGTTGATTTTTAAAAGTCTGAGTCACTAATAAAATTATAATGCATCACGGAATAATTTCAAAGATCTAAGTTTTAATTCATTATTAATAATAATAGAAGACACTGTCTACTAGAAGACACTGCCTACTGCCCATATTTTAATAAAATCTTAATGAGATAATAATAAAGTAATACTTAGCAAGAATGACTTATAAAACATAGACACTGGCTTTAATACAAAACCAGAATATAGGCATACAGACTAAGGAAAAACTAATGGGGAAAGTGCCCAAATATAAATAAGCATTGTGATAGTTATGAAACAGATATTATGATACTTTGATATGTAAATAGAAGGAAAATATGCAAAGACTTCCTGAAGACTTCTCATTGTCTTTATTATATGAGCTTTAGGTCTCCTTACCAAGGTGTTACGTTGGGTGCAGACCTTTATTAAAAGAGGTAAAAGAAGTCATAAATAGTTCAGAACTTCAAAAATGGATGGCACAGGCAAAATGATGTCCCTAATGTGCTATACCCTGTAAGTCTGATAAATCTTTTGTGTAAATTGAGGGTCTGTTATTGGTAGATTTTCCTTAAACTTTGCAGTTTAGCCAAGAATTTCCTTTGCCTTTTTGGCTGAGTAGGACCCTCTTCAAGGCATTCCATTACATTTATGATAAGGAGGGAGAAAAGAAGGATGAAAAGAGCCTTGGTCTGAAAAATTCTTGTTGAAATCCTAACCCCCCAGGTGATGCTATTAGAAGGTGTTTGGGTCACAGGCAGAGCCTTCATGAACGGATGAGTATCCTTATGAAAGATGCCCAGGTTAACGCCCTTGCCTCCTTCCACCACGCGGGACGCATGGAGATGGTGCCATCTGTGACTCAGGAAGGAGGCCTCATCGTTACCGTACTGACTATGCTGGCTTCATGATCTCGGACTTTGAGCTTTCAGGACTGTGAGAAGTGTTAGTTCTTTATAAGCCACTCAGTTTATAGTATTTTTGTTATATCAGCACAAACAGACTAAGACAGAAGGAAAGGAGGAAGGAAGGAAATAAAATAAGGGACAAGGAAAGATGGAAGAAAGGAAGGCAAAAGAAAGTTAAGAAGAAAGAAGACTGATTTAGAGGTGGGAATAGATCACTGTGGAATAATGCACTGTGGGAATAATGGCTGCTTAAAGTTGTCCATGTTCAGATGGCAAATACCCTAGATACAGTTAGGGTCTGAGAAAGGTTATACTCAAAGATTAGACAAACTAGGGGGGGAAAAATAGCAGCTTATAGAATCAGATAGTAAACTGTCTTTACTATTAATATAATTTAAAAATATACGCAGCAAAATAAAAACAAATTTAAAAACTGTACCTTTTTAATCTGTGCCACTATTACAACTGTGACCTGAAAAACTATAATCTGAGAATTTTAAGTTAAAGTTACATGGGACTACAGTTCCTCCCATTTTTGAAGTTCTTTTCCATAAATAATTGTTCATAGGTAAGCAATATTTTGAAATTTGATTTAATTTTTAATACAATAAATATAGGTAGATATAACCAACATAAACAAAAGTTTTTGGGGTCCTCAATAATTTTCAGCAATGTAAATGGGTCCTGATATTTGAGTCCCAATTGAGAACTGCTGCTTATAGCAATAAAAGTGAATCAACTAGGACTAGATAGAACAATATAGATAAAATTGACAAACATGATATTAAGTCAAAGAAGCACGACAGAAAAAATCATGTAATATCATCCTATTTATATAAAGGACAAAATTGGAAAAATTAGACTATATTGTTTAGGATGCATTAAGCAGGTGATAAAACCACAGAGCTAAGAAGTGGTTTAGTCATGTTTGTGGTTATCTTTTGGAGAAGATGGAGGGATTATGATTGCAGAGACACGTGAAGAGGCTTTATGGAGCATAGTAACATTTTATTTCTTTATCTAAATGGTGATTAAACTTTTATTATTACTTATTTTGTTTTATATTTACATGTTATATGCTGTAAATTTCTGAACTAAAAACATATTTTAAAAATCTGGGAAAGTTTCATCATCACTAGAGGAAAAAATAGGAAATAAAATAGAAAATTATACAAAATATTAATAAAAATAAAGGTGGCATATTTATTCTGACAGCTAAAATAGATTTTAAGCCAAAAAACATTTCCAGAGATCTAGGGATAGTATATAAGATTCATTTCACTAAGACCATATAAGTACTCTATATTCTTATACAGGCTTTAAAATATATTAAAAAAAGAAAGTAACAGAATTACAGGTAGAAATTAATAACTCTATCATCATAAAGTGTATTTTAACATACCAGTTGACATATCAAGCAGACAAAACATTAGTAATGATAGAGATTTAAAACATAATTAACACGTTTGGTTAATTATATATATGTATGATATACATATATATCATACAATCCTGTAACCCAAATTAGAGAATACACATTCTTTTCAAACACAGATCACTTATGAATAATGACATTGTTTTAGTCCATAAACAAATCTTAACACATGTCAAAAAATTATGTAAAAATTGGTACGTTTTCTGACTACAATGGAATTAGGGTAATTAAGGTAATCTTTTGAAACTTACAAAATCATATAAGGCATGTCAAAGTCAAATATACTTGACTTTGCATTATGTATTCTTTTGAATTTTTTACATTTCTTTTCATTACTGTGGTAACATAATCAAAGTTGACCTCATGAGAAATATGAAAAGAACCAGGTAGTGTTGCTTGGAACAGAAAAGGCTATCATGTAACTATCTCCATGGATATAAAAGAATATGTTTAACCTTACACTGTAGCAGGAAATAATTTGAGAGAATACAGGCAGAATCTACTGAAGGAATGACTGAATTTTGGAGCAATCTACTACAGAGGCCACTGAATCTATATAGTAAAAGTTGAGAGAGCCCCTGCCTTCCCTGAAGAAATTCTTCTTAAGTTATATTCAGTTATATCTTATGCTATATTCTTCTTAGGTAATATTCAGCTCCATGGACTATACTCAAATATTTTACAATTACAGTTGATCTACAATTCTGGAAATTGTCAGATAATTGCTGGTTAATTCATAACATTATACTAATGATATTTCATATAAATATTCAGACTTCATGAATATTTTTCTAATTTAAATGAATTTCCTTATTTGTTTGCATTTTTTGAAAATAATCACTCCTTTCTGAGCAAAAAATTTTCTATTATAGGAAAAAAGGTCAATTTATATAACGAATTAAGGGAGTTGAAAAATCATGTAATCCATTTAATACTGTAGATTTGAATGACATTAATTACATTACTTTAAAATATGTATTTTATATTCTTACATGAAAAAAAGATTTCTAAAATAAAGTTAAAAAATTACCAGAAAAATGTAAAATCATAAATTTACTTTCCTATTAACTAAGCGGGCATAATATAAATGAAATAGGCAATTTAAGTCTGCTTCTCAGTATTATTCTTTTAGTGGCTGAGTGACTAGCCAATTTGTATATGTAGCTTAAGCTAGAGCTATGTCAGTACTATGAGCAATATACTCTGAAATGTATTTTTTTTAATCACATAATAATTCATCGATATGAAAATTACTTATGACTTTAAAGGAGAAACTTAAGTTGCCATGGCTAGAAAAATAGTTTGTACGACAGATTTAAAAAATTAGAAAGTCAAAAATATTATTAACGTTAAGTTTCACAGGGCATATAGCTTTATATTCTGTGGAATTTTCATCTTATATATTCTCACCAATTTTTTAAAAGATTAGCAGAAGACTCCTAAAAATTTTAAGAAAATGGTAGACTTTATTTAATAGAAGGCAGTAGTGAATTTTGTAGAAAAAAATCTGAAGTAATATCAAATAATTAGTCATAAGGGATCACATAATTAGTCATAAGGGTCCCATGGACTTTAGCTTGTTCTCTAACCCATTCTAGGTCCCATCCCTTGCGACTTAGGCAAGATATCTTAGGTTTCTTTCACGCTGAATCAGCCTCTAGTGTATGTTCAAATCTAGACAGTTGATTTTATAGTTTGGAATTTTGATTAACTATCCAATCGAAGAGGCAGCACACATACTTGTAAAGTCGTATACTACAACCGGAACGCTTTCAGCAGGATACTGATTCAGTCACCCTTACTCAAGGGCTCCTCTCAGCGAGAATTTGTATAATTTGAAGGCTCCTTCTAGTAACTTAAGGATCATTGGGGAAATTAAATGAACTGTGCATGTTTACATTCAAAAGGGGTGCTGGTCTATGCCTAGTTGTTTAGTAGCTGGGCTAACCAACAAGCTCTGACTTTCCAGAAGAAAGTAAAGAAAGCTTAGCACAAGAGAAATACATCTGGAAGATCATTTGCAGGAATTCCCAACTCTTTCTGGACAAGAAGAGTCTGAAAATTGTAATCCTTTTTGAGAACTAATATGATACACTAACACATTAAACATATCACGTGTCATCTTATACCAGACTTTGTATAGGCCGTAGGCAATTGGCAGGCATCAAAGATTTTAGAAAAAATTTAGGAGAAATACTGAAAACTAAGAAAAGTCTATACACTTTTTTACTAGAACTGAGAAAAGATTATTTATCACATGATGGGTAGATCAAGTTCTTAAAATACCTGTGTTCTGCAGGAGCATAGCCTGAAAATCTGCCCCATAATTTATATTTAACTCTTCAAATAACATTGAAAAATACAAAATTTCAATTATTCTAACAGCGTTTTTGATTGTGATTATTCTAATCTTAAGATGTACAATTGATGTGTAAATTTGAGTCTTCTCATAAACCTAGGGAGGAAATTTAAAAATTTGGCTTGGTTGCACCTTATTTTATCCCGTAAATTCCTAAACATTCTCAGTAGCAGATACAATTCTATATAAATAAGCAACACTTTCAAATATAACAGGTGAGGCTATTTACATAAAGAACATTTAAAGTATTGTACATACACTATTAGTAGGAGAATGGTATCCATAAAGTTGAAGACGCTGACATAGAGCACAAAGGGCCAAATGAAGTGTCACATTTCAGAATGAACCCAAGTTTAGCAAAAGAAAAAAGGAAAAAGATGACAAAATATTCAATTAGGAAGGGCAAATCATTATGCTACATTCTATATAGAGAACACACACAATACAAGTAGGATAAATATTAAAGATGAGTAGCAAAGTTTTTAAAAGCTTATATAATTAAACAGTAAAAGAATGTGTGCTCACTTCACCCATTTTCATTGTAACTTTCTGATAGAACCCTTGCTTTAAATAAACCATGCTCCTCGGAAGTGTGCTTCAGCAGTTCTATATGGGGTGGTGGGAACCTAGATGCAGCAGCATGACAGTGGAAATGGTATGAGAGACCTGCAGTGGGGTTTTGTTCTGCTCTTACTAGTGCTGTGACCTTAGGCAAGTGAATGAACCTCTCTAGGATGGTTTTCTCATCTGTAAAATGAATATGATACTTACTTGGGAGAAATGTAATGAGGACTAAATGGGAGTGACATTTAGGATGAAGGCAGTACAGAGCTTAGCACATAAATGTCCCAAGAAATGCTATGTTTGTTTCTCTCTTCTGAAGCACACTTAGTTTCATTGTGGTATACAAATATTTTTACATTTAGTTTTGATTTAATTTTGATTTGGGTATGTAAATATTCAGTTCAAAGTAGCTGTATGGCTCCACTAACTAAAAGAAAACTTTACGTTTCACAATGACCTGTGTTTGTTGTTTTACAAACTGTTAAGTGGCCATGTGTTTTAGCATATTTAATCCTCACAACTGTTCCTTGTGGTCATTACTCCTATTATACCCACTATACAAATGAAGAAACTGAGGCACAGAGAGGTTAAGAACCTTGATGAAGGTCATGCAGGTAATGAATGCAGAGCTAATATTCAAACACTGAAAATCTGGGTCCTGAGCCTATGCTATAGTGTCTCTTTAATGTAATCCATATATTTTCAGTATAAGCTAATTTTAATTGCTTCAAAACTTAAAAATCTCATCAGTTCAGATATGCATTATTTAAAATGTGACAACAATAAGATACCACTGATTATCATCACCATTAAACATAGGATATTTGTATTGTTGTAGAGTGCTATGTAGTTCAGAGGCTGTACTAAAGATTATTTCTGAATTGTTCTAAAAGATCTGATAGCTAAATTATGTAAATGAGACTTCAGAAACTCTAATTAAACTATGTAAGATAAATACCTCTGAGGTGCCTGTGGAAATCAGTGACTTTAGTAAGCAGTCCTTTACATATAGGTAGATTATATATTAGGTATAAGTTATTTTTACCCCTTTAAAACACATCACCTTCCCCATGTATTTGCTAGGGATTGCTTTATTGATCTATATTGTATTTAAAATTATACAATTTAGGGTATGATGATATAATTTAGATTTCAAAATTCAGATAAACTTTCCCTAATTAATCCAAGTTAATGAGGATTTGCTGTATCACTAGTATGTAATATTTACATTAAATCAGTATTAAAGTTTACTTTACCTGGCCTGCAATAAAGCTCAGACCCAAGCTTTGCACTGACACTATCTATAGCTTTTCTTAAAGTGGGTTGTCTGCTATTATTTCTCCCTTTCCTCTCTCCTTTTATTATATTTTAGTAAATGTTAATGAATAGAATGGTATTTTATTTTTAGTGGAAGATCTATCATCTTTTCTGGAAGTAGTATAAATAAACAAATAACAGTTAGGTTTCTACCTATTAAAATATTATATACTTTACCAATGACTCTATAAAAAGATTCATTAACATGATTCAACCTCCTAAATGATATTTTATTAATAACTTGCCTATCCATTCAATTATAGCTAACCTATCAAATTAAAATAATTGTTTACTCTTTTAATATATTGTCTACAGAAAAAATTTATGAAGACACTTAATTCTCTAGTGTTACCTGCTAATACTCTAAAAAATTGTATTTTATGGGGCTAATTCAAAGAAGATTTGTTGGTTACAATTTGAAAACCATGATACCTGAATTAGAGAATTCTTCAATGCAAGTTTAATACTTAGCTAACATTATAATCAGCTGTTTGATTTTTTAAAAAGTGTCCTCCATAAATTTTGTCAATTAGTATATTGGGGGTGGTTCAAGAAATACTGGTAATTATATCAAAGTCAAATATCCTATGATATAACATTTATTTCATTATCTTGATAATCTACTTTTATTAATATAAATACTGCACAAATCTATTGAGATTGAATATGACATGCATCTGCTAGAGATAATCCATGTTTTAAAAACCCTAATATATATTCTTATAACAATGAGAATAATAAAAAATATTGCAACTCTCATGTTAGTTATTTAAATTCCAGGTAGACCAATTAAACTACTGCACAGGGCCACTAATTTCCAATGAAATAATTATCATTTGCGTGCCAACAAAATTCACCATGTTCCTGCGCTCCAAGTACCAGACAAAGAAATATGCTACAGTGAGTAGAAGTACAGGTTTTGGAGCTGGCCAGCCATGGGTTCAAATCTTAGTTTGTCATTTAATAGTTAACGTTACTTTGGACAAGATACTTAACTTTTCCAACGAACAGTTTCCTCATTTATAATTACAGATAACAAGGGAACTGTTGGGTACATTAGAGGAAATACATGTAGAGCACCTAGTATAGTCCCTGATAGTAAGATCTCAGCATCTGTTATTTTTATTATGTGAATGTAGTGAAATATTTGGGACAAGCAAAAATAAAAATGGTAGGAAAATGGAGGGAAAGGCTGCTTAACTCTACCTTTGTTATAATGAAAACGCTGCTCATCCAAGACAAATCTATGATATATATTTCTGAGAATGCAAAAAAATGCATTATTTCTGTTTTGCTTCAACATTTATATTGTTATAGTTATTATTAAATTCACTCACATGTATAATTAAATCTTTGCAATTCACCTTTAAATTTTTACATGCATAATGATCTGTATTAATCTATTATATGGTATACCCTTCAAATCTCACAGATAACAATAATATGGATGAAAATGACTTAACAAATGTTTATGGATACAGATGTTTAATATCAATATTTGCTGCAAATATTGATATTGATGCATATAAATACTGAAGCAATTTTTCTACATTAGAACTTTAGAAAGGGACAGCTCCAAAGTCACACAGTTTAATTATTGTTCCTCAACATTATAATGATCTGTATTAATCTATTATATGGTATACCCTTCAAATCTCACAGATAACAATAATATGGATGAAAATGACTTAACAAATGTTTATGGATACAGATGTTTAATATCAATATTTGCTGCAAATATTGATATTGATGCATATAAATACTGAAGCAATTTTTCTACATTAGAACTTTAGAAAGGGACAGCTCCAAAGTCACACAGTTTAATTATTGTTCCTCAACATCAATAAAATAATGCTTACCTAGAAAACCCACTTGAAATTACCATAAATTATTCTTACCAGCATTGCACGCTTTTCTTCATCACCTTTAGTTTCTCTCTTTTCATTTTTTTTCCTGAATATCTCTTGAAGCTGAAAAGGAATCAAGAATCAAATATCCATCAGGAGTTTCTGGGCACCTATCTACCACCCTGGTATATTCTAAAAACAAAGATATAGTTATTAGCTTTACCCACCAAGAACGTTAAAACTACTATAAATATATTTTCTGATGTCAATTTTTTTTCTTGAGAAAAAGAAAATACATCCTTTGGTACTGGTAAGCTCTAGTTAAGTTAAACATACAAAATTATAGTTTCACTTTATCTCCCAAGACACAAACACAGGGAGTCTGTGTGACAACACATAAAGAGATGGAGCCTACCAGGGAATAAAGAACATTGAAACAGAACTCAGTGACTCAAGAGTTTGAGCCCATCTTCTGACACATACTAATTTTATGACAGTAGACAGGTCTCTCAACCCTTGCTGGGCTACAAGTTGCTCATATATGAGATGAAGATGGACTAGAAGATTCTAAGGTGGGATTAGAATTGTGGTGGGAGCATGGACTCTGCATGTATAACCCTTTGAGCAAATTAATCTAATTATTTAAGGCTTGTTTTCCCAATCAGTAACATGGAGATATTTCTGTACCTTACAGGAGTATTTTTTTTCCAAGTTTTACTGAGGTATAATTGGCAGATCTTACATGAATGTTGTACAGAGTATCACAAGTAATTGCTTAATTTCCTGTCACAGAGCGACTTCTCAATAGTATTAGCTATTATTATAAATAGTATCTTTTCCTCTTTAAAATCCTATTTTACAAATGGAAGTCTAATACCTCTTTCTCAGTTATCTGCCAAAGTCATTGTTCTTGTCTTTATAATTTGAACAGTGATCTCAATTCTTCATTTCATTTTGTACAGCAATAGTTTGAAAATCAAATAAAATGTATTACCTCCCAAGACATTCAATAACAATTAAAAATACAGTAAAATATGATTTTATAAACAAATTTATTTCCACACTTTTTCTAATGAAAATAGTTTTTAGTAAAGGTTATTAATCACTTTTAAAAAATAAATCACACAGTTATAAAATATTTATTCAGAATGCAAGTAGACCACTGTAATTTAAGATAACAGAGTACAAAAACTTCATTGAGAATGCTTCAGATTCCGTATCCCAAGTGATCTTTGAGAAGCTATTCACTTGTTGAGTTTTGGTGCAGTAGCAAAGAAAAATTTCCACAATCTATACGGATTATTAAGATATGCCTTCTTTTCCAACCACTGGGTGGTCAGACTTTTTTCATACTCTTCAACCAAAACATCAACTTGCAATAAATTAAATCTAAAGAAAATATGAGAATCCAGTTGTCTTTTAATTAATCTAAACATTAAAGAGATGTTTTGAAATGTACAACATAACTGCTCAATTTTTTTCTGTTTTGGAAAATAAGGTTTTTTATTTTTAAGTTTTATGTATTTGTTTTTATTAAAGTTCATTTATTGTGTTGTCTTACTAATAAGAGAATGTTTCCCCCTTTTTTGTTTTTGTTTTGTTTTTATTGAAGTATAATTGATATACAATATTATATTGGTTTCAAGTATACAACATAGTGATTCAACAGTTATTTACATTATGAAATGCTCACCCAACTAGTGGTTATTACCTGTCAACATAGCTGTTACAGAACTATTGACTGTATTTCTGTGCTGTACTTCCATACCTCTAATTTATATTATAACTGAGATTTTGTGCCTCTCTATTCCTTTCACCTATTTCACCCACTCTCTCCAACCCCTTCCCCATGGTAATCACCAGTCACTTCTCAATGTCTATGAGTCTACTGCTGTTTTGTTCACTTTGCTTTGTTTTGTTTTTAGATTCCACAAGTAAGTGAAATCATATGGTATTTGTCTTTCTCCACCTGGCGTATTTCACTTAGCATAATACCCTCTAGGTCCATCCATGTTGTCGCAAATGGCATTTCTTTCTTTTTTATGGCTGAGTAAATTTCATTGTATATATGTACCAATCTTCTTTATCCATTCATCTATTGATGGACACTGGTTGCTTCCGTATCTTGATTACTATAAAGAATGTGGCAATAAACTCAGGGGTACATAAATCTTTTTCAATCAGAGGTTTTGTTTTCTTTGGGTAAATTCCTAGTAGAACTACTATGTCATATAGTTTGTCTCTTTTTAGTTTTTTGAGGAACCTCTGTACTGCTTTCCACAGTGGCTGCACCAATTTACATTCTTACCAACAGTGTGGGAGGGTTCTCTTTTCCTTACATCCTCACCAACACTTGTTATTTCTTATCTTTTGCATAGTGGATTCTGACTGGTGTGAGGTGGAATCGCTTGTGGTTTTGGTTTGCATTTCCCTGATGATGAGCAAGATGGAGTGTCTTTGTGCCTGTTGGTCATCTGTATGTCTTCTTTGGAAAAATGTGTATTTAGGTTCTCTGCCCATTTTTTAATTGGGTTATTTTTTTTTGGTGTTGAGTTGTACTAGTTTTTTATATATTTTGTATGTTAACTCCTTATCAGATGTAGTCTGGGAATATATTCTCCCACATAGTAGGTTGCCTTTTTGTTTTGTTCATAGTGTCCTTTGCTGTACAGAAGCTTTTTAGTTTGATGTAGTCCCACTTGTTCATTTTTTATTTTGTTTCCCTTGCCCAGGCAGACATACCCAGAAAACAATTACTCATGCTTGTATTCAAGAGATTTTTGATTATGTTTTCTTCTAAGAGTTTCATGGTTTCATGTCTTATATTTAGGTCTTTAATCCACTTCTAATTTACTTTTGTGTATGGTAGTAAACAGTAATCCAGTTTCATTCTCTTGCATGTAGCTTTCAGTTTTCCCAACATCATTTATTTAAAAGACTGTCTCCAAATTGTATTTATACAATTTATAATCACTTTTTAAATAGGCAGAAGAATCATAGAGTTTAAACCTCTGCAAATGAGTTAGCCTAACACCACCTCCTGCTTTCAGGAACTCTGATGTTTACAAAAAAACAAATAAAAAACAAGAAACAGCACATAAAAGGCAACAGTACAGCCACTGCAAAGAGCAAAGCACAGCTTTAAAGCAAGGGCAGCTTTTTTATGAGTAAAGAGTGGAAACAGATATAAGTTCTATGTGAATATTTTCACCTCCCACCTTTGGGATATTATCTACACAAACAGACAATATCCCAAAAGACATCTGAACAGGCAACTTCTGGTGGATTGAGTTCCAAAAGTTAATCTTGAAGTCAGTGGGTGGAACTTGGCAGTGTTGCCACAGAGTTTATTGAAAGCTATTTAGATTATTAGGCCCATTTTGAAAGTCCTAACATACAGCTATACACTATCAGAGCAGAACCCTATTACAGGAAATCTGTCCATCGTAGGATGTTAGGAAAATAGCTCTATCTTTGCAATGAAACTGGAAACTAACTTCCCTAACATCCTGAAAACCCTGGGATGAGGGATCCTTCATGGGTCTGGCTCCAGCGGCATGGCTCAGGGACTGGACCTGGGCAAGGGCTACGTGGTGTTAGATTAGGCCTTCTGACAGATCCCAGGTAATAGACAGTTTGCTTCCTTTTGAATAGCTACTAATTAGCTTTTGACAAGGATTTTTATCTCTTCTCTTCCTTCTAGAGAAAAGAATGATTTCATAGTTTCTCTCCCATGTTTCAGCCTCTGAAGAAAATACTAAGCTGTTCAAAGAGGTTTTTTGAGGGATTTTAATGGCCTGTTACAAAGGAAAAATAGAAAAAAAACCCCAACAATTTGTACGCCATCTTTCCCTTTTCTTTTTTACTAGAAGGGTATAGGTAAATACACAACTGAACATGAATGCTAAGGGAGAGACCTTGTTACCATAAGGAATAAATTAATGATCTCTATTTTGGAGAAAAAACAGAACAGTCATTTGCCACAGAAATATATGTAGGATACATGGATAAAAAAAAATATATAGAAAAATTCTGGAAGGGGGGGTGGTGTGATGAGTGAGCAGCTGATGGTGTCGCCAGACCAGGACCAATGCTGGACGGGCCAGGTGAGAAAGGCTGAAGGACAGATACCTAAGGACCGTCTTGTTCCTCCCACTTTAGATCAGCCCTCAGTCAAAGACAGGGGGAGGGAATAGTAAAACGGGACAAGGCTGGGATTCAAAGCAGTAAGTAATAAGTGGAAGAGAAAAGGAAAGAGAAAAATTATATGACAAGGAAGGAAAGCTCCTGAGGCTGAGTTATGACTGAGCGGCTGATGTGATAGGGACTGGCTTTAGGACCTGGGCATGTGTGACACCTCAGGACTGTGTGGTATCCACCCAGTGGAGAGTACTTAACACATTTCAAACTTCCAGAAAATGTGTAAACAGCTACAATCATTTTTATACACTGAATATAATTTATACTTTTATAATGTAAAAATTATTCAAAGCAAATAAGAATATATTTCTTTATTAAATTAAGTGAAAGCATAAACTTTTCACTCTGTCTTCCACAACAGCATTCTGAATAATGCAAAAACATAAATATATTAAGCCCTATTTATTGATAAAATGCAGTCATATAATATACATACCACCAGAAACTCCTTTTTATCCACCATCTCATTGCCATCAGTGTCAAACATGTTGAAAGCTATTCTAAAACCTGCATGTGGCTCTGCCAGGAAAAAACAGAAAAACATTTGTGAAATGGAAAAATGTTTTTAAAGTACAACAACCTATTAGTTGTAAGCAGTTACGCATATTCTGTACAGAAATACTTTCTTTCACAATAAATTCAAAGCAACACATTATTAGTAGTTAAATATAATAAAGCTATATGTAAGTATACACATCTCTGCCTCATGTATTAGAGGTATTAGCATATTTAGTGACAGAATTGATAATACACTTAACTGTATGATACTTGTTGCATAGCAATGACTGTAAGATTTGATTACTTTCCTTCCAAAAATAAATATTTCCTTTTCTTATCCAAAATCTGTTTAAAAGGAAAATATCAGTTCCTCACATCTGAAATATTTTCAGTATGTTTAACTACTTAGAGTAGAATAAAAAAATAAAAATATGACACAATGGACCAGTCCTAGTTCTTGGGAAATTATAGTAGAAATGACCTATGAAAAAAAAATGTCAAGCATTAGAAATTACATATTTGGGTTTAAACTTCTAGAGACTCCAAACACAGAAATATAAAAAAGACTTGAATAATTAATTCCCAATTTCCCCAAGGACAAAAGGAACAATGTTTTTCTGAGAAAGGCAGACTTCCACAAACTACAAACTGCTTTAATTTTATGAACCTTATAGTGAGGTTCAATCTCTTTTCTCTTTTTACTTCTACAGCATAAAGTAGAAAACTTGGACAGAAGAAAATTTGAATGGGTCCTTCAAAGAGGAGCTCAGTGTACATGTCTTTTCAAAACATTTGATCTTCCCTTCAAGATGACTTGGAAAAAGTTTAAAAAGGGACCTCCCACAGACTTACCTATTGTGAAATCTTGAACCTAGCAAAAGAGAAGTGTACAGCCCTACTTTTAACTGTCTGAAAATAATGGAAATGGAAGCCAGTCCTTTATGCAAGCTCATTATTTTAGGAATCTAAACTTATTTTCACTATTCACTTGAGAAAGAAATAAAAAGTTACACCATCTCTAATAATCAAGTTTTAAGCTTTACAAAGCTCTTGAAAATACACAGAGAAGAGAAGGGAAGTCATTACAAGCACTGTTTGAAAGGGAAAATAAAGTTAAAGTAATAAAAAGTAAAGAAGAGAAAACCAGAGACAAGTAACAAATTATTTAGCACCCTTACTGCCAGCTCTTACTGAGCATTTCTCTTGGTTCTAATCTAGATAAAACCCATTAGTTTTTTCAATTCAAACCCCTAGAAGTTTCTAAAATGAGTCCTGCACTCCAAAGGAAGATTTATAGCATCCAAAGATCCTACTTTCTATAGTAAACAAAAACCACTATATGTGTTTTCTCCTACACCCTTAAACCATACCTTGTCCCATCTCAACAAGTAGCTTTCCTAAACATTTGTTTCATGCTTGTCTACCATTCTGCTGGTTTAGGCACTAATAAATTTTAATTTTGCATCTAAAGTTGTTCTAGTTAACAAGATAACTTTATAGCAGGTCTCTGAGATGCTCTTTGGCATCACTCTCCTAATTTTCATGATAGCATTCATCATTGACTGGATTGAATCATCATAATTGCATCAGAGTGGCTTTCCATTCTGGAACAACTTCAGCTAGTCCCTGTTACTAACTGCACAATACTTGTTCTCCAGCACCATCATTTTAATTTCATTTTGAGCAGGAGAAAAAGCAAGAAAAAATAAATTTTGAAACACACATGCACACAGACACATGCTATCTCCCGAACTTTCTGCAACAGAACTCTAACATACCACTCACTATTAAATTCAGAGTAACACAGTGGTTGTGAATTTTCTAATGACAGGCATACAAGGAATTTAATGACTTGTTTCTAATGACAGAGTTTTACTGATATCAATTTATTGATTGTATTTATCTTGTTTCCATACAGGTCCACAAATCCCCACTAGTGATATTCTTTCTTTCATTCCTTCCTGCATGCAATCACTAACTACTTTTTTGAGAGGCTACAATGTGCCAGACATTGTTCTTGACACAGAAATGGATAAAATCAAAAAAGATAAAATCTTTGCCATTATGGGCCTTGCATTCAACTGTGGGGAGAAAGACAACATATAAACCAATAAACAAATATTTTCAAATACTTTAAGTGCTTTGAAGACAATAAAACATGGTAAAGGTATAAAAAGGGAGAGATGGAAGAGGAAACTATTTCAGAAAGGATAGTCAAGCAAGGATTCTCAAAGTCTCCACATTTCAAAGGAAACCTGAATGATGATTATTATCATGAGGACCTTGAGAAAACGCACTAATAGCAGAGGGGACAGAAAGTATGAATTCTTGAGGCAGAAATTCAAGGAATAGATAGGTCAAGAGGCTGTAGCACAATGAACAATAGCATATAAATTCCTCCATTACATGCAATGAAATTTAACTGAAAACCTTATGATATAAACCTTCACATATATCATAAAACTGCTGCATATGAGAGGAAGAGAATAACATGGCTGTTTTAGCATGCATGATGAGTATTCTGAAAGACTCACAGTGCTAAAAGACTCATTCTTTAACACTAGTCTTACAGGAACTGTGATTTGAATGAGGATATCAGGAAATTTACAAATCTCCACATGTCCTGAACTAAACCACATGGATTGATATGAAATTGAAAACTTATGAACACTTTATTACTATACCAGTCATACAAATATTTATGTTTTTGACTTGATACTGCTATGCTGGCATTTAGACAGGAATTTTGCAAAACAGCATGGATGGACCTAAAGTAATTTTAAATAGAAAGAGAATTTAAGAAATATTTTTTTCCAAGATTCTGATTAAAAAAGAAAACTCCATCCAGAAATATATTTAATGAATATACTTACTTGTTAAAATACATAAAAGGAAAAGATATTCTGTGTAAGAAATCACACCTAGAAGAAAAATAATGTTAGCAATGCTATATATAAAATGTTTCTCTTCATATTTATAAGGTAAAATATTATGCTTATAATAGCAATATTAACTTATAGTTTTTAAAAAATGCTAAGTATTGTTGTAACGAGCCTAAACTATTATAAAAGCACAGCAAAAGAGGCAACAAAATTAATTTTTCTGTAATTGTGTCACATGCCTCTGTAGAAAACCATACAAAATTCCCATTAATGCTCTTAGATATAGTGGCAAAAAAAAATCAAAATTAATAATGTTTAGTTACTGCTCTAACTTTAACATTTGTTGCTAGTTTTCAATGTATGACCTTAACAGAGAATAAAAAGGTTGGTAGTGGTTACTACTGTAATGTGCTTAACTCTTGACTAAAACATTTAGACATTCTTGCTTAGAAATCAGATTTCTGTATTGCATTAAAAAAAATGAAACTCAATAGTTATTACTTTCCTTTTCTCAAATTATCATTATTCTTGACAAACTTAATGCTTCTATTAAATGTACTCCAAGAAGTTTCTATTTTAATTAAATGGCCTACACTATCTGTATATTGCATCCTGAGTTCTCTATAATCTCATAATTACAAACTTTAAAAGGACTCTGGAGTAAATAAAAATATAAATTGTCACTCAAATTCTTGCTTTTAGGCTATACCACCTGAAACTATGATTAATAGCTTAATTACATTCCAAGTGGATCCTAAGAAAATTAAGATTAAGAATAAGCCAGTAACACTCATTCAGGTAACAGTCCTGATGTTTGGTAAGAGGGTATAAAAAAGTCCTTAAGTAATCAGATTGTGGACCTTAAAACTCCACTTGGCCTTCCGTTCTCTGACACTGCCCTCTTTGTTCCAAAACAAAGAGAAGAGGAGTCACTGTCAGGTAGTTCGTCAGGAGACATGAAGGGAACCAGCTAGGAAGCTCTGAAAGCATTCCCTTCTTTTGTTTATACTAGAGTATTGTGACCTATAGACAGATAGTTCTGGTTGATCGCCATGAATGTTATGGGAGAAAGATTCTGGAATGGCCAACGTACATAAAAATACAACACCTCGATTCCATAGGCAAGCAAAATTGCAGGAGGATAAAAGGGAAATGGGATCTGGAAATGGGCTCTTTGTATCCACAGTCTCATCTCTTGACTACTGTTCTAGTTGACTTGGTAGAACACACAAAAAATATGTATTCCACAATGGAAAATGTTGGTTGGTGCAAAAAAGCTTAATAACTGCTATATATATATCTTTTATTTGATAATTAACTCAAGACTTCCCTCAGGGAATGATCACTTAACAGTGAGAGTACTGATCATAATTATTATGATAGGCACTTGTCTGGAGCACTAACTGGTTTTTGAGATGGTGTAATCCACAGGGAAGGAGAACAGAGAAACTCATGATACAATTTAATAAAAATGGTCAAGGAAAAGAGCAAATACTTGTGAATATCAACTGTAGATTCTTAATGTTTTCCAATTAGGAAAATGGAAACTATTAGACTAACCCTTCAATTTATTTTAAAGCCATCTAAGGATCAAAAACTAACATAAAAATAAATGCTAACCATATAGTAATATTGTGATTTTTAGAAAAAGTGAGTAAGAAAGATGCCAATTAGATTTCTTTTGAAAAATTTAATTTAAAAAATTCTAAGGAAAGTTCCTTAAAAGCATTACACTGTTCAGTTCCTGTATCATGAGACATTACAGTTGGCTGTTATAACTATCTCTACATAATACATGTTTTCATAAATGAGTATCAATTAATTTTTCTATAAAACTGCATAACATTTTCTTGCTGTGTAATATTTTAATCAGATAAAATTCACTTGTAAATTAATATTTAGTAGGTATAAAGATTTAGCTTTAAAATTCCTCTGTCACTTTATAAATAAATAAGACTATTAACTCTCTACTTCACCTAACGTAATGGTCCTAAAACTTTTTGGGTATAATAATCCTATTACTATGATACGGATCTGCACTGTCCTTTAGGGTAGTCACTGGCTACATGTGGCTATTTAAATTTAAAATAATTAAAATTAAATACAATTAAAAATTCAGTTCCTCAGTTACAGTAGCCACATTACAGGTGTTTCATAGCCACAAAAGAATTTCCTTCTTCCATGCATTTATTTTTCTCAGATTATATAATTTCTATTTTCCCATTAAATATACTAAATAAATATTTTCAAAATTCACTAACTTAGGTGATCCTTCTGAGCTTTGAATTTTCCGGATCCATTCATCTGACTGTAATATTTGAATAGCAATCTTTAAGACAAATGCCAGGAAAAAAATTACAAGAGTTTTAAAGATAATTTGGTCCAGATTTCACAATGATTTTAAAACCCTAGTTATGAAAAGTCTACAGTAAAAGAAGGGGTCCCCTCTTTCAGAGTTTATAAGAACCAGGTGGAAGCAATTTAAATTTCTAATTCTACTTAGATAAACTATATAGGTTATAACTATTCCTTTCAAGTATTTATCCTCTTGCTAGAGAAAATATAGTATTTTAAAATCAATATTGGTTAAAATTGATGAAAATGAAAATTTAACTGTTTATAGAATTTCTTTAATGTTTTTATTTTGCATACTCTTATACTTGAGAATATAAAACAGTATGTTCCTAAGAAAAATTCCTTTTTAAGATTCAAGAAAGTTGGTTATTTTTTACTATAAATATGTACAAAAAGTACACTGTAGAAGAAAACTGTAGTAAAAGCTATATAATTTGATTACAAGGAAATTATAAATTAATGAGTTAACTATGATAGAATACAGTAAGTCGAACAGGTGGATTTTGCAGTGAGTATTGTTTTTTGTTTTTTGTTTTTTTTTTAGTGAGTATTGTTTTTAAAAGAAACATGTTCTTTTTTTATTGAGGTATAGTTGATATATAGTATTATTTTGGTTTCAATATGCAATGTATACAATAACATGATGATTTGACAATTATATACTTTATTAAGAGCTCACCATTTTAAATGTAGATATCATCTGTCATCATACAAAGATATTATAATTGACTATATCCCCTATGTTATGTTGTCATCCTCATAATTAATTTACTTTATAATTGGAAGTTGTATCTCTTTATACATTTCACCTATTTCCCCCACTCCCTTACCCCATGGTAACCACCAGTCTGTTCTGGGTGTGTATGAGTCTATTTCTGTTTTGTTTGTTTGTTCATTTGCAAAAAAAAAAAAAGAAAAGAAACAAGTTCAAGTGGCCAATAAGTTTTTCATATTGATTAAATTTAAGAAAATCTATGATTCCCTGGAAGTAAAATAGAAGAAGGAAAAATAGGCATTTAAAGATGAGTATTTTTGATAAAGGCTTTCTGTTGGAAAATATAATCTATACTTCTCTGTATACTTAAAAAAACATTTTTTTAGCTATAAAAGTTTACTTCGTTTTAAATGATTTGGAAAATATGAGTAATATACATATAAAAAGTAAAATACAAATCCCACTACCTTGAAACAATAAATATTAATATTTTGGTGTTTTTCTTTTCAGTTTTTTCTCTACACAAAAATACACACAAAACATACATATGTAATTGTAAAATTATTTTAAGTATGAGAAAAATATGTATATAAAATAGTATAAACATTAAATGCATAAATACTAAGTTAACTTACCTCTTTCTTTGAGATTACGAAATAACTTTGATGATCCTTTCCAAACTGGTGGTGTTCCTGAGAGCATTTGATTTAATTCCTAAGACATAAGGTATCATAACACTCATTAATAGGTAAGCCACTTACAAAGCAGATCAAAAATATATTTAAATGCCTATGCAAAACAATTCTCCACTTAAAAGATATGGCTGTATTTATTTATCCTATTCTATACCTGTGGTTCATTCAATCATAAAACCAGTATTTTCCCAATTCAAATATAAATTATAAATATGCTACATTAGGTTCAACTGGCTGCCAACAATTTCAGATAAATTTGATAATTGGAGGAATGTATATGAGATCAACAATTAAGATAAAACAGTAAATTTAAGTTCTGGAGCCAGTCCGATGGAATCTAGGATACTTTCATGAAAGCCATAGGAAAACATGGGTTTCCTTATTAAAATCAGATATGATATCTGGCTTCACATACTGTCTCTTCTCTGTAGCCCTCTTGGTTTTAGGGGGCTTTGTGGTAGAAGTAAACAGACAAAGGATTATTATTAGGAAACAATGAAGAATACTTTAATAGAGACTCAAAGAATGAGGACATTAGATGAAGTGGCAGGACTGGGATATTGAGATATTGTGGCCACTGTTTTAACTTCTTACCCCCTAATTTTTTTTATTATGATATCATTAATATACAATCACAGGAGCAACATTATGGTTACTAGATTCCCCCCATTATTTTCCCCTAATTTTAACTTAAAAATTCAGTAAAGACTGCAGACTTCAATTGATGGTTAGTTAGCTTTTTTTTTTTTTTAATCTGTAGAGACATTATTTTGAAAATTTAAACATTTGAATCATTGCTCAGACACTAAGGCAATTTTGAATTTACTGTGCATACTGGGTTAAAAATAAGTGAAAATTGTTTTCTGATTAAGTGTGAAGAAAAACTATTAAAGGAATTGGCACGATAACTAGAAACAAGTAGAAATTTAAAAACTAGTCTGCTAAGTAACACAGCGAAAACACTGGAAAGCATTTCTATTTCCAGATCTGATTCTTGCTACTCAAAGTGTGGTTCCTCAATAGGTCACGATTCAGCTGGGACCTTGTCAGAAATGCAGAATCTCAGTTGCCATTCCAGCCCTACTGAACCAGAATCTATATTTTTAACAAGTTCGAAGTGATTTTGATGCACTTTCAAGTCTACGAAGCAATTTGGACAAAACTTCCTGATGCAGTTGTACTTAAAAATGCTCTGGTATTCAAACCAAGTTTTTCATTACAAAGCTGAGTTAGCAGGCAAGTAAGGAATTCCTGTGATAACAATGGCAGGCGAGGTATTTTTAGGTGATGTGGACTCTCCAAAGCCCATCTATGAACCTTGCTTTCATTTCAGAGTGTTTTCTCTGCGCTGCAGGTAACAAATGCCACTAGGCTGTGGGTAGTTCCTGATTAGGGTAGCAATAGCACACAGGTGAGAATTCAGTTACGAATAATGATGAGAAGCAGGGATATTTACTGTTCAAACAATAATAACCTTGTAAATATTTTTGTTAGAGCAAGAAATTTTAAAAATTTGCATATATTTTATATACTTTATACCATGTCTATTGTATAAATACTAACTTCTTTCTCCATTTTACCTGTTTCCATGTATTCAATTCCAACTCTTTTAACTTAAACTAAGCTAGAGTTTAAGACCAAAAAAATCATAGCTACTTTTACTCAGTACCCTCCATCTGCCTGGCTATGGGCTAATACAGTATCTTATTTAATTCTAAAAACTAATCCTTGCATTGCATATTTTACTGAGATTTAAAGAGGATAAGTAACTCACCCAAGGTTGCACAATTGCTAAATGATTGACCAGATCCTTACTGACTCTAAGCAGTTTACTTTAGTAACCATTTATTTTATTCTGGTCTAGATCATAACTCATATACTGATCTTGTCTTCTTGTTAACTTTAAGGACTATTAAATTTTATTAAAATCTATTATATTTCCACTCAGACTGGGATTCTTTCTCCCCATTCCCAGTGTTTATCTTGGTCTCATATGTAGGAACACTGTATAATGAATTGGCCTTTGTCTCTAGTTCCTGGGAGGAATTACACCTAAGTTATGAGATGACTCAGGACAGGGCTGACTGTCAGAACAGCCAAGTTAACAGAGGGTTGAAGCTTTGAACTCTTCCAACCTCGGGGGAAGGACTGGAGATTGAGTTCAATCACATGGCCAATAAGTCAGTGAAAAATATGTATGTAATGACATTCTCAATAAAAACTTAGGACACCAAGCTCAGTGGAGCTTTTAGGTTAGTGAAAACATAGATATGCTAGTAGGATGAAAAATACTCATTCCTTGGGGAGAGGGCATGAAAGCTCTGTGCTTGGGATCCTCCTATACCTTGCTCTACGTGTCTCTTCATTTGGCTGGGCCTGATTTGTGTTCCTTACAATATTTATAAACTGTAATTGCAAGTATAGAACATTCCTAAGTTCCATGAGTCAGTCTAAATTTATTTAACATCCTTTTTATGGAGTTCTATGAGTACAAGACACTTAATCTTTTCTGTTAATATACCACAAGCATATTCTCTCATTTGTCATGCAACTTTTAACATTGTTGATGATGTCTTTGGTATGCTGAAGTTTTTGATATTTTTTTTAGTAAAATTTGACAATAATTTCAAGTTAGATCATCCATCAACAAGATATATTGTTCTCTTTATCCATCTCTCTTAAAAACTATCTTGCACATTTTCTGTTGAGCACACCAAGTAGTTTTGTACCCTAGTAGTTCACACTAGTAGTTAAGTACACTAATAGTTTTATTGCTATTGTGAAAAGCATCTTATTTGATAGTGCAGTGTCTATGTGCTATTGTTGGTGCAGAAATAGCTTATTAATTTTGGTTCATTGATCTTACAGTCAGCAGCAACCCCGCTAAGCTTTAAATTTGAAATCTATGTTTTCTTTCACATTTTTCTCTCATATTGTTTGCTACTGTTACAATATTTAGAACCTCTTTTATTTTTCTTATCATACCACATGTATGAATTGTGCCCACCTCAAATTTACATTTGAAGTCATAACTCTCAGTATCTCAAAATGTGACCGAATTTGAGGATAAGGCCTTTAAAGAGGTAAGGTTGGTAAATGACATCATTACTGGTGTGCCCTAATCCAATATGACTGGTGTCCTTATAAGAAGAGATTAGTAAACAGACATGCACAGAGGAAAGATACGTGAAGATGAAGGGAGAAGACAGACATCTTCAAGGCAAGGAGAGAGGCCTCAGAAGACACCAACCCTGCCAAAACCTTGATTTCAAACTTACTGCCTCCAGAACTGTGAGAACATTAATTTCTGTTGTTTAAGTTACCCAAACTGCAGTACTTGGGCAGCCCTAACAAATTAATGCACTACATTAGCTTAGACCTATAGTAAAATATTGAGTAGTTGTGTGGTAGCAGACATATCTGCAATATATCTAATTTTAAAGAGAATGTCTCTGAAGTTTCACAAGTAAACATGATGTTTGCTACAGGCTTCTAAAGAATTTAATTTGTTAAGGAAGTTCCCTAGACTGCTATGCTAATACTGTTTTTTTAAGTTAAAGTTTATCATACATATAAAAGTACAAAAGGAATGTATGTAAAATTTAAAGTTAGGAATGTTTAAGAAATAGAAAATTACCAGTTCTTTAGAAGCCTCTTTGTCCCCCTCCACTGACGATATTCCCCTCTGGCTCTCCCAAAGATAAGTATTGTCTTGAATTATATATTTATCATTCCTTAGTTTTCCTACCTATGAATGTATCCTTAAGCAATATGGTTCCATTCCCCCAGTTTTGGACTTTATATAGATGAAATTATACTTTATATTTTTCTGAATTGCTTATTTTGTCCTTATGTTCTGAGATTGATCTAGTTAAAGCAATGTTATAATTCATTTGTTTTCACTTGGTATAGTATTCACTGTATGAAAATATCAAAATTTATTTATCAATTCTACTATTGATATTGTATTTCAGTCTTATTGGTTATTATGAACAATCTATGGACATTCCCATGAACCTCTCCTGCATATGTGAATTTCTCTAGGTATATACCCTGGTGTGAAACTGCTGGATCATAGTGCACATTCAAGTTTAACTTTACTACATACATGTGCATGCACTGTTGTAAAATTTAAACCTAGGATTAAAATTGCTAGGTATAGGATATATGTTTTCTTTAATTTTTAGTAGATAATGCCAAATTATTTTCCAAAGTGAATATACAAATTTATATTCCACATGAGAGTTACCACTGATCCACATCAACAATACTTAGAATTGTTCACCTTTCTGTTTTCTGGAAATCTTGAGGTTAAAATTGGCACTTTGATGTGATTTAATATGTAGAAATTTTTATTTATATATAGATGAGGTACCTGCATATGTACACCAACAGCTTTAACTTACCTGTTTGGAAAGTGACTTCCACATTTTAGTAACTATAATAAGCAAACATAAAAGAATAAGTTAATAAATACATCATATAATGTATATCCGAATTCAGTCACCATATACAACAATATACTATGACACCAAGATCTTATATATAAAAGGAAGTTTTTGTTAACCTCAAGATTTGGATCTAAGATATGAATTTATTTGTGTTAGGTATTTGTGTAATCTACTATAAAGTATTTATAATAAATAATGTCAGAAGATTAGGAAACACATTTTCCATAATCATTATCTTACTTTGGGGATTTCTGGATTTATAAAGTAAGTTAACTTATTACTCCATGTTAAACATCCTACAGGCTTAAAAACACAAATAATATTTATTAAATATTCATACTAGAATATAAAATATTAACACAGAGAGATTATAATTCTAAGCTGTTACCTATGATCTCTGCTGTACTGCTTTCTCTGACTATAATTCAAAGGTCAGTTCCTCTAGGTTGAAGGGGAAGAACAGGGGACACTGAGAAAAAGAGATGAAGGAGAGAGCAGGTAATGTGAGAGGGACTCTTCTATTTTCCATTCTTTTCTCCTGTTTTAAGAATCCTTTCTGGAACAAAGTGTTAAGAGTTTAAATAAGATAGCTGGGATCACTTTCTTTTTCGGATTAGTCCTCACATCCCTGAAGATCTCAAACACTGTACATCTTGCAATACTGGAATAAATGTTCAGTCAATCTTGCTGACTCCTTTACTCAAATTTGAATACTGTGGTGTCTAATGCCTGCCCAAGAATTATCTCCAGCTTTATATGCGATTAAGTCCTACAGTACTGCTGCATTAGAAACTGGTAAATATTAAGTATTTCAGTTATATTATAATAATAACAAGCAATAATTTTTCTACATGAAAATGTGGCTATTTTTCTATAGTTAACCACAGTTAATGTAAACAATATGTCAAACTCAAGATTATAAAATAGGCATTTTTTGCTATATAATTTTCTCTTTTAAAACATTATTTTAAGTCATTTTAAGATCAAAAGGAAAAAATTGCTCTAAAATTTAGTAACTTACATTTATGGAGATAGATTTCTTTTCTATATAGCAAGATCTTTCTTTACTCAAGAAAGTTTACACAAATGTGTAATCAAATGATTAAAATCACAGGTCTAAAAAGTAGAATTCAGAATTTAACCTTAATTATGATATTGTATACATTTATTTCATAAAGACATCTTCCTTTTCCAATTGAAGAGAACAAAGTAAATAATATGTATTATTCCATTGCTTTTTAAATATAGCAGTAAAAAAAGAAGAAAAATAAATGGTACAAAAGTACATGCAAATGCTCTTATGCAATGTTCAGAAGCTATTTATCAAAAAAGGAAGTCAGACACACTCTTGAGTTTTGTAGGGTTTATAAGATTTCCAGGGTAAATTATTCACAAAAGACATTCATTCTGCCGGATATGTTACCATGTTCAATATTATTAGCTTTTTTATAAAAACTAAAGAGCCATTAAGATTATTCTTCAAAGGATTTTCTGGTTTTCTAAATTCCTTATTTCATATGAAGCTACTTCATGTATAAATATAACTTGGGTGAAGAGGGACTTCAATTCTACTGGATATACTTTATTTCTTAAACTTTAGGCTTATTTTCATTAAATTTTTAATACTTTTACATATGTCTAAAATGTTTTAACAGTATATTTCTTTAAACTAAAATTACAATAATACTTGAAGATACATGTTATTACAACAAAATAATCAATTACTCATTTGAGTTCTAGAAGGAAAATTCACCTTTCCGGTTCTATTTAGGTAGGTAAAATTAATTTTCTAGATTTCAGATCAAAGTTATAATCAATAATCAAATGTATATCAAGATTAACATTTATTTGCACTATAAGTATTAGGCAAATGTTTATTACAGCATACCACGTTTTTCTGTTGAGGTCACCATAAAATTATATGAGATTTTTTTAAAACTGTGGTTATTACCTGAAGTGATAGGATAGTGATGCTGACGCTGATGACAAAGATGGGTACCAGCATTTACCAAGTGCTCCCTGTGTGTCAGGATCGGTATCAACACGTCTGATACCATGCAGTTGTCAAGAACCTTCAGGAAGCTATTATTTGACACCAAGATCTTATATATAAAAGGAAGTTTTTGTTAACCTCAAGATTTGGATCTAAGATATGAATTTATTTGTGTTAGGTATTTGTGTAATCTACTATAAAGTATTTATAATAAATAATGTCAGAAGATTAGGAAACACATTTTCCATAATCATTATCTTACTTTGGGGATTTCTGGATTTATAAAGTAAGTTAACTTATTACTCCATGTTAAACATCCTACAGGCTTAAAAACACAAATAATAATATTTATTAAATATTCATACTAGAATATAAAATATTAACACAGAGAGATTATAATTCTAAGCTGTTACCTATGATCTCTGCTGTACTGCTTTCTCTGACTATAATTCAAAGGTCAGTTCCTCTAGGTTGAAGGGGAAGAACAGGGGACACTGAGAAAAAGAGATGAAGGAGAGAGCAGGTAATGTGAGAGGGACTCTTCTATTTTCCATTCTTTTCTCCTGTTTTAAGAATCCTTTCTGGAACAAAGTGTTAAGAGTTTAAATAAGATAGCTGGGATCACTTTCTTTTTCGGATTAGTCCTCACATCCCTGAAGATCTCAAACACTGTACATCTTGCAATACTGGAATAAATGTTCAGTCAATCTTGCTGACTCCTTTACTCAAATTTGAATACTGTGGTGTCTAATGCCTGCCCAAGAATTATCTCCAGCTTTATATGCGATTAAGTCCTACAGTACTGCTGCATTAGAAACTGGTAAATATTAAGTATTTCAGTTATATTATAATAATAACAAGCAATAATTTTTCTACATGAAAATGTGGCTATTTTTCTATAGTTAACCACAGTTAATGTAAACAATATGTCAAACTCAAGATTATAAAATAGGCATTTTTTGCTATATAATTTTCTCTTTTAAAACATTATTTTAAGTCATTTTAAGATCAAAAGGAAAAAATTGCTCTAAAATTTAGTAACTTACATTTATGGAGATAGATTTCTTTTCTATATAGCAAGATCTTTCTTTACTCAAGAAAGTTTACACAAATGTGTAATCAAATGATTAAAATCACAGGTCTAAAAAGTAGAATTCAGAATTTAACCTTAATTATGATATTGTATACATTTATTTCATAAAGACATCTTCCTTTTCCAATTGAAGAGAACAAAGTAAATAATATGTATTATTCCATTGCTTTTTAAATATAGCAGTAAAAAAAGAAGAAAAATAAATGGTACAAAAGTACATGCAAATGCTCTTATGCAATGTTCAGAAGCTATTTATCAAAAAAGGAAGTCAGACACACTCTTGAGTTTTGTAGGGTTTATAAGATTTCCAGGGTAAATTATTCACAAAAGACATTCATTCTGCCGGATATGTTACCATGTTCAATATTATTAGCTTTTTTATAAAAACTAAAGAGCCATTAAGATTATTCTTCAAAGGATTTTCTGGTTTTCTAAATTCCTTATTTCATATGAAGCTACTTCATGTATAAATATAACTTGGGTGAAGAGGGACTTCAATTCTACTGGATATACTTTATTTCTTAAACTTTAGGCTTATTTTCATTAAATTTTTAATACTTTTACATATGTCTAAAATGTTTTAACAGTATATTTCTTTAAACTAAAATTACAATAATACTTGAAGATACATGTTATTACAACAAAATAATCAATTACTCATTTGAGTTCTAGAAGGAAAATTCACCTTTCCGGTTCTATTTAGGTAGGTAAAATTAATTTTCTAGATTTCAGATCAAAGTTATAATCAATAATCAAATGTATATCAAGATTAACATTTATTTGCACTATAAGTATTAGGCAAATGTTTATTACAGCATACCACGTTTTTCTGTTGAGGTCACCATAAAATTATATGAGATTTTTTTAAAACTGTGGTTATTACCTGAAGTGATAGGATAGTGATGCTGACGCTGATGACAAAGATGGGTACCAGCATTTACCAAGTGCTCCCTGTGTGTCAGGATCGGTATCAACACGTCTGATACCATGCAGTTGTCAAGAACCTTCAGGAAGCTATTATTTTTATTTTATAAATGAGTGGAAAAAAAGTTAAAAAACTTAACCAAGTGCTCAAAGCTAGTAAATGAATGCCAAGTCTGAAACATATGCCTGCCTAATTTCAATATACTGCTTTGATATGTATATGTATACGATTTAATATTCAGTTGGTAAAGCATATTTTATGTTCTGAGGCAAATACTTCTTTTTATAACCTTACACTTTCAAGAAAGTTTTTACAAACATCTTGATCTTTAGTGATCATTCTTAATTATGTTTTATGAGTAACAGTTGAAAATTAACTGATGAATTTGTGGTTGTTAAATATTCGATGAAAATTTTTAAAAATGGAAACCTGTCTTTTTCTTGCAAGTGATGGTTTTGGAAAACCTATGAAAGAATCACCACAAAAGTCATTTCCAAAGAGCAAAAATCCAAAAAGCAGGCTTCCAGTGAGTATAGTATGAAGAAAAAGCTCAAGAAAATAATGAATTAAAAGTTTTCATATTAAGAAATTTTAAATCATTAAGCATCATTTAAAGAATGACTTCTCAGATATGTTTGACAAAACTTATAGAATTTAAAACAAAAATACCATGTGATATTCTAAGGAATATATTTAGAGTTTTATGAAATATATACTAACTTTAATATTTAAAAATCCATATTGTACTAAATCAATTAAGCAAAAATCTATGGAGCACATATATATATCTACTTATGTATACAAATTCCCTATACTCAGGAAACTTCAAATATTATAGGACAATAAATACAGAAACAACCAATTCCAAGGCTAAATAAGTATGGTTGCCTGGTACATGGAAAGTACTCAATAAATATTTCTTGAAAGAAGGGAAGGAGGAAGAAAGGAGGATTAAAGGAACAAAGGAAGATATAATAATCCCTATCACAACCTTCCAATTCTTCAAAAAAATAGCCCTCCTTAATTTATAGCCTTTTCTACCACTATTACTTTACACAGTCCTATGAACACACCATTTATTGTCTTCATCCCATGTTTTTGCTCATGTCGTTCCCTCTGCTTTAGATGCTATCCTCACAGTTCCCTGTACAATCATGCCTGATGAAGTCTCTACTTCAACTACCTCTTTCATTCCCTTTATCTTTCACAACCAAACATCTTTAAAGAGTTTTTTATACTCACTGTCTTCATTTTTTCATCTTCTACTCTTGCAATCTTCTCTTTGCCCTAATCACTACAATAAAACATCATTGAAGAAAATCATCAATAACCTTCAATTACTAAATCTAGTGGACATTCTTCTGTCTTCACCTAACTTGACTTCCCAGTAGCATTCTACTCAATTGACCATTCTGATCCTTTTCCTTGGCTTCTATGCCTCCAAACTGTTTTGATTTTCTTCCTATGCCTTGAACACTCCTATGTCTCCTTTTGAGGCTCATCCTTTCAAGCCTTCATTTCCTCATCCCTTACTGTGTAGGAGTTCCTCAAGGATTGGACCCTGGTCATCTATATTCTCATACTACACTGTTTCCCTAGGCAATACCATCCATATATACTTGCATTAACTATCAATCATATACAGATGAATCCTAAATAATACTTCAACCCAGCCCTCTCCCCTGTTCTCCAATGGAAATAATCCAAAGCATCAAAAACAAATTCATTAAAAGCTAATTTGCAAAGTAGCTGATTTGCCAAATTATTTAGGATTTTTTTAACTTTCACAAATTTTTCTTCACCTCACATTGTTACTTTTTTTTCACTGTTGTTAAGAGTGCTTAAAATCTACCTCTCTTAGCAAATTTATACTATACAAGAGTATTACCAATTACAATACAGTATTACAGTTACCATGCTACACATTAGATCTGAGGATTTCTTTTAACATTTGGTTATGCCATATCCCTTTCTCTGAAGAAACAATGGCTATAATAACCTAACTTAATATATTTGTTTGACAGTTTCAAGGAGATAATCAAACAAATTATCCGGTACTTTGATTTTCATTGAATTAAAATGAATGATCAAGAGCCAGATTCAAATGCCTCTGTGATATCATCTCTTTTACATATCTAGGTTGTCTTAAAAACATCATGTCCAAAACTGAAGTTGTAATTTGTCCCTTCAATCTTGATTCCTACTGCCATCCACCCAGTTAAGCCAGCCAGAAAGCCTTATTATTCATTACTTATCACCACTGCTACCACTCGCTATTGAAGTCTTGACAAGCGTCTCCTCTCTGATCTGCTCATGCTCACTCGGGCCCTCTCTAATCTAGCTCCACCCTGAAAGATCTTTTAAAACAACTCTAATCATGGTATGCACTTGCTAAAAACAGGACAACAGCTCCCAAATGGAGTCGCTTATGCTGAGCTCCATGTCACCAAACCAAGACTGAATTACAGTTTTGTCTTTCCCAGAGATGGAATCTTACACCAGTCAATCAGGAATGGGCTGATGGGCACTAGTTAGATTACCTGCCTGACAGACCCTTGCTATTCCCTAAAGGAAAGTAATCTTGCAATAACCAACCCACTTTTTTTTTCCTTGTATAACTTCCTTATTCCTGATCCCTTCTGCCTATAAATCTTTCATTTTATACAGCTTCTTGGAGCTCCTTTTTATCTGCCAGATTGGATGCTGATTCATGAATCATTGAATAAAGCCAATAAAATCTTTAAAATTTACTCAGTTGAATTTTGTTTTTCAACACACCAAATTCTCCTGCAGCTTAAACTGCCACCATGATTTTCCATTACATTTAGGATAAAAACAAAGATGTTTAATATACGCTTACAGACTCTGAATGACTTGGCCCAGCCCCACATACCCAGCCTCAGCTCACACCATAGTCCTCCTGGCTCTTTGCACTATAGCCACCCGGATCTTCTTTCATTCCTTAGATGTAGTATGTTCCTTCTTGTCATGGCACCTCTATACATGCTGTTTCTTCTGCAGCAATTGTCTATTCCCAACTTCCATTCCCCTAGTTAATTCTCACTCATGATTCATATTTCACATTGATGTTTATTTCCTCAGGGCAGACTTCCCTGAGCTCTCTGACTAGGTCACTTCTTAACATGCATACTAACAGCAACAAGTATCTTTCTTTCCTGATATTTATCACAGACATAATTTGTCACACATTTGTGTATTTCATTGATCAGTATTTGTTTCTTCAACCAGACTGTAGGCAATATGAGGGTGGAGAGCATTTGTTTTTTTATTCCTCTCACCACTGTATCTCTAAGACCTAGTGCAATTCCTGCATTTGATAGATGTCCTTGAATACAGGTCATTTAATATTCTGGGAGATGAAATAGGAAGTGTGCATAAAGCACTTCTGGTGCACATTCCAAAGTACTACAGCTGTCCTGAGAAAAAGCACTGTGTGATTACTTGAGTGGTAAACTAAACCAGTTCCTTTTCTCATGAAACACAATTTTTACTTGAAAGAACAACTGAAGGACAAATTATAGTTACTCAGACCTAGATAGTTTACAGATGTTTTCTTACAAATAGCAGTCAGCTTACTGATTAAGGAAAACAACAGTGACAAAATTTGTTGGCAATGACAACACTTGAGCTTTCAAGTGAAAATTAGAAATTTGGAAAAAAATTAGAATGGAAAAGTTTTGTGTTTGACAACTTTTCAATAAGTAAATACTTTTATGATAAGATTATGATAGTATTAATGAATGTAAATTTTAAAAAATATTGTATAATGAAATGTGTTAACATGTGGAAGATCTGAATAACTCAGTGAGCCATCATTTTCCCAATTGATGCTATAAGAGGACATAAGGTAAAAGATCCACTCAAAGTACAATGTAGGCCAATGGACTTTAACCTAACAGATTATAAAAGTTTCAGATTCCACATTGCAACTAAACTTAAAGAAAGTACCACTCGCCCAGTGATGATACAGCATCAAAGAAGAGTAACTATAATTATCTGAAAAGGCTATTAAAATACTCTTCCCTTTTCCTAGTTACATATCTGTGAGGTAGATTTTCTTCATATACTCATGAAAACAACATACCATAAGAGATTGAATATAAAAGCAGACACGAAAATGTAGCTGTCTTCTATTAAGTTAGACATAAAGAGATATGTAAGCAATGTACATAATCCCAAAGATTTTGAGAAACACTGTTCTAACACATGGAAAGAAACAATTAGTGTATATTTACACTATAGGAGCCATGACATATACAGAAGAGATGGACAGAATTCTTGCCCAGGTCTAACTTCAAGGCCAGTCTTCTGAATTACTATGTTCAGGTGAGATACAAGAATTCAACAGGCAGACCATGAACCTATTGTAAAAAATGTCAACAGTAAGGTGATGTTTAAGTTTGAGGGACTGAGAAAGAGGGCCCAACTCAAAGTTTATGAAAAGAGAAAAGATAATCAGTAAGAGTTTATACAAAACATTAGTCTGGTAACATTCTACAGCATATCTTTTGAAACAGCACATTACCTGGTTACGTTCATCTGAAAAACTTATACTGTGCTAAACCTTTACAAACTACAAGTAAGAAAACTACTTAATTGAAAATTATTAAGATAATTCTAAAGGTATACTTACATTTGGGCTCATCTGTTGTAACAGCCAAAATAAAATCATATGGAGTCATGAATAATTGCCCTTCACATTCTATAGAAGCAAACAAACGAAATCGCCTTTCCCGAGATGTAGCATACAGGTCTAAGTCTTCAATGTCTGTTTTGCCAATAGCAACCTAAAGTTAAGAAAGCAAATAAATTAGGACTGAAATAACATCACTTTTTAGAAAAAAAATGCTTTTAATTATGCTGAAAGTGAATAGGAAAAAAACTCCATTTACAATTGCATAAAAAAGAATAAAATACCTAGGAATAAACCTAACCAAGGAGGTGAAAGACCAATACCTGAAAATTACAAGACACTGAGAGGGAAATTAAAGAAGACACCAATAAATGGAATTGCATCTCGTGCTCATGGATAGGAAGAATTAATATAGTCAAAATGGCCATCCTGCCTAAAGCAATCTACAAATTCAATGCAATCCCCATCAAAATACCAATAACATTCTTCAACGAACCAGAAAAAAATAGGTCTAAAATTCATATGGAACCACAAAAGACCCCAAATAGCCAAAGCAATCCTGAGAAGGAAGAATAAAGCTGAGGGGCTTATGCTCCCCAACTTTAAGCTCTACTACAAAGCCACAGCAATCAAGACAATTTAGTACTGGCACAAGAACAGACCAATGGAACAGAACAGAGAGCCCAGATATAAACCCAACCATATATGGTCAATTAATATATGATAAAGGAGCCATGGATATACAATGGGGTAATGAGAGCCTCTTCAACTGGTGTTGGCAAAATTGGACAGCTACATGTAAGGGAATGAAACTGGATTACTGTTTAACTCCATACACAAAAGTAAACTCAAAATGGATCAAAAACCTGAATGTAAGTCATGAAACCATAAAACTCACAAAAGAAAACATATGCAAAAATCTCTTGAATGTAAACATGAGCAACTTTTTCCTAAACACATCTTCCCAGGCAAGGGAAACAAACGCAAAAAAGAACAAATGGAACTACATCAAAGTAAAAAGCTTCTGTACAGCAAAGAACACCATCAGCAGAACAAAAAGGCATCCTACAATATGGGAGAATATATTCGCAAATGACATATCCGATAAGGTGCTAACATCCAAAATATATAAAGAATTCACACACCTCAACACCTCAACACAAATAACCCTATTGAAAGATGGGCAGAGGATCTGAACAGACACTTCCTGAAGAAGACAGATGGCCAATAGGCACTTGAAAAGATGCTCCACATTGCTAATTATCAGGGAAATGCAAATTAAAACCACAATGAGGTATCACCTCACACCAGTTAGGATGGCCAACACCCAAAAGACAAGAAACAACACATGCTGGTGAGGATGCCGAGAAAAGGGAACCCTCCTACAATGCTGGTGGGAATGTAAATTAGTTCAGTAATTCCACTCCTAGGAATTTACCTGAAGAAAACAAGATCCCTGATTCAAAAAGACAGATGCACCCTTATGTTTATTGCAGCACTATTTACAATAGCCAAGATATGGAAGCAACCTAAGTGCCCATCAGTAGATGAATGGATAATGAAGATGTGGTATATACACACAATGGAATATTATTCAGCCATTAGAAGAGAAGAAATCCTCCCATTTGCAACAACATGTATGGAGCTAGAGTGTATTATGCTCAGTGAAATAAGCCAAGCAGAGAAAGACAAGTACCAAATGACCTCACTCATTTGTGGAGTACAACAAAGAAGCAAAACTGAAGCAACAAAATAGCAGCAGACTCAGAGACTCCAAGAAGGGACTAGCGATTACCAAAGGGAAGAGGCTGGGGAGGATGGAAGGGGAGGGAGGGATTAAGGGGCATTATAATTAGCACACATAATATAGGTAGGCCACAGGGAAGGGAGTATAGCACAGAGAGGACAAGTTAAGACTCTGTAGCATCTTACTACGCTGATGGACAGTGATTGCAATGGAGGGGAGGGGACTTGATAATATGGGTGAATGCTAAAACCACAACGTTGCTCATGTGAAACCTTCATAAGATTGTATATTAATGATACCTTATTTAAAAAGAAAAAGAAAGTGAATTAGCAGAGTAAATGAAAAATATGAAAATATTGCCTTCTGGAATATTTAATCATTTCATAAATACCCATGTGAATAAAATGAATTCAAAACATCCTACTATAAATATCACTAAGGGTATGAAGATTTTAAATTGGCACTTTGAAGGACTTGTGATTTATTTCTTAAGTTTTAGTTTCAAAGAATATTAAATTTCTGAGCTAAAAGTTTCTTTAGAAGGAACACTAACACTTGCTGAATGTCTAACACATGCTCTCTCTATAGGCTTATGTGTTTAATTAGAAGTCTATCAACTATAGTCTATTGAGATTAAAAGAAAGTGAAACCCTGATAGGCATTCAGGCTACCACTATGTAAACCATCTAGTGGCAGTGCTTAGAGCAGATCTGACATTGCTAACTCTATATTACTACCAATGGTCATTCTGAATTCTACCTAGGGTTAATATGAACAGAATTAGAAGGAATGTATGTATATCGGGGGAAGGAAGTCTCTTTTGTTTTCCTTAATTTCCTTGTAGATAAATTAATTTTTCACTGTTATATATTTCCTCTCTGAACTACTTATAGGAAATTTATTTTTTAATGAAAAGATTTCCTCCTGATTATGAAAGTGGTGCATAGTTACTGTATATACTTTGAAGACAATTTTAAAAATGTATAGGCATAATTTGGGGGGACATTTTTGGGCAAAATGTGGGATTATACAATACTGTTCAGTAATCTTTTTTACTTAATATGTCAGGGCCATTCTCCCATGTAACTTCAAGTAGACCATTTTTAGTAAATGTATAATATTTCATAGTAAATGTCTATAGCACAACACAACTAATAAATTCTACATGGTTGAATGTTTAGGTGATTAATTTTAAAAATGTATAGGCATAATTTGGGGGGACATTTTTGGGCAAAATGTGGGATTATACAATACTGTTCAGTAATCTTTTTTACTTAATATGTCAGGGCCATTCTCCCATGTAACTTCAAGTAGACCATTTTTAGTAAATGTATAATATTTCATAGTAAATGTCTATAGCATAACACAACTAATAAATTCTACATGGTTGAATGTTTAGGTGATTCATGATATTTTACTATATAAAACAATGTTATAATGACCAACTTTGAAAATATTTAGATATATCTATAAATAGTTTCTTTGGATAAATTCCTAAGAATAGATCTGACTGGTCAAATAAAATTTTTTTGTACATCTTGTCAAACTGCACCTATGGAATCTATAGCAATTTACATAACTACCAACAATGCAAAACTGTATTTTCATACATTTCACAAAAAATTTATATTAGAAAAAAATTCCTATTTAGGATGGTAAGCTTATTCTCTTCATCGTCTCTTCTATGACTATTGTCATAATGTAGATTGTGCATAACTATTAAAACTATAAAAATATATAATATCTTGAGAAGTCATATTAAAATAATCCATAAGAAGTTTTAGCAGAGACACATGTTTGTATTTCTAAGTTACATCTCATTAAATTAAAAGCCAGGCAATGATTAATCTTTTTCCACTATTCTGAAGACTTAAGATTTTTCAAAACATTACATAAGTAGTGAAATAAAAACTAAAAAAAGATGCACTCTTCACTCTTTAATGGCATGTATTAGAGAACATATAGGTTCTGCCTTTAAGAAATATACAACGTATTTGGAGGGGCAAAGTACCACTAGTTAGAGAGACAAAAGATACAAACATGGGAAAAGGGAATGAGTCAAGTTAGAGTAAACAGAAGAAAAGTGCACTATAGGTTGATGTTAATAAGAAGGCTTTGGGAAGAATAAAATATGAATTTTAATGTCAGGAAGAGATTTGACCATTCTAGGTTTGTATAGCTTATTTGAAAGCTGGCAATAATCTTCCTAGAGCAGAAGATTTGCATTTATGGAAAACAGTAGTTAAATTAATAATGATTTCTGAATGCCAGACTAAAGCAAGGGAATTTAACCTGACAGAAAACAAATGCCCTTAGGAAATTATGTGAAGCAATGACACCAAAAAAATGATGCTTTAGAAAGATAAAGCAATGTGGTACCAGAAAAAAAGCTAGCTCAGCAGTAAACTAATACAAATTATTCAGATAATCCATAAATTTTGGGAAATTGTTTTGGTTCTGCCATGGATAAAAAGTGACACACTGAATAGTTCATGTCAGTAATAGGTAATAATCTCTCTGAATACTTCTCAGGGATCAGTCTACACCTTAGGTCTCCCTCTGTGCGTATATACCCAGGGGTTTCTTTTCCTCCCAGGACAGGGAACTCAATCTTTTTACTACCATAGTTTACTTTCCTGCTTTCTTCCTGCTAGGCCATTTCCCTTGGGCCTAGTTGGCCCCAATCAAACATGACTCATTTCCAGTGAATTTCCTAGAGGACCACTCTAGGCGGAGCTGTCTGTTTTTGCACCAGTCTGAATCCATGCCTCAGTCTAACATCCTGACCCACAATTTTTGCCTATAACATCTATGTTTGCCATGACCTATATGTACTTGACCATCACTCTTCCTGGTGTTGCCATTACTGCTCATGAGGTGCTTGTGTTTTATCATCAAGCTTTCCTTCCTTAAGCACAGTCCCTCATTTGTCAAGGGCAAGCCAAACCTGCTTGACCACTGCAGCTGCGAATTTGATATGTCTTCTATGAGCTAATGTTGACAAAGCCTTCTTATCCTTAACTTCTACTAACAATCAATTAACAAAGCCTATTGTTCTCCCTATAATTTCTCACATCTACCCACTGCCATTGTCTTTGTTCAAGCACTCTCCACTTTCCTAAAATTTTACAGTAATAGCCTAACAATGATTTTTTCCTCTAATCCATCCAATACCAAGAGAAAGTGAAAGAACATTGGTAGTATATAAAATAGATAGAACTATAAAAGTCTGTATTCTTTAACTACTTGAGTAAGGGTACCAGAAGAAATTAGACCATGTAAAAGGTTTTCATTAATAGCTGAAAGTTCTATCCCTTGTTGTCTTAGCAATAATACCCATCATTTTTTATGATGGTCTTAGGTAGTGTCTACAGGACTAGTTGGCACCACCACAAAAGGTCTGAGGA